AAAAATATTGCATTTTAATTAATAATGTTTCAATGTTTGATAAAAGGTACATTTGACGGAAAATAATTTCAATCGATGGTCAGATTTCTCACAAATATATTTATTAATATTTACATCTTAAAAAGAATTAAAATGATCATAAAACTCTTTTAATATACTAAATTTAAAAATATTATAATAATATAGCTCGTAATATGCAAAGCAATATGTAAAAATAAACCAACAATCAATCAAATGTAAGATGTTGATAGTAAAGATGGTAAAGTTGAAAAGTAAAGATGGTAACAGAGTCATCTTTGTTAATAAGGATTATCGTATTAATAAATTAATTGACATTTCATTCTAAATTTCGTTCTAAATTTGTTAGTCTTATTTTTACATATAAGTTTATACAACGTCAAAAATTTCCTGCAACAGACTTTATTTATTTTGAAACATGTCGAGGAAAAGTGCACTTTCTGCAAATATCTCGCATGTTTATTCTGGCGTAAGTTATAAATACGCTTGCATTTTCTCATTTCCTTCGTCTCTCTTTTTCTTCCTCTTTTTTCTTTCTTCTTCTTTCTTTCTTCTTCTATTCCGATTCAAAGGAACCGCTTAAAAAACGTTAACGTCTTTAACTTGGAATAAAGGGTCGGGTATAGACGCGTCGGGTTTAATTGCTGTCTGTTTCATACAATGTCGGTCGTTAGAACGTCTCGTGAGGCCGTTTTATTAAGCAGCCTCGTCAAAATGTAAATTAAATGCTTCAGGTACGCGCGAGCACGTACTTTTTAATAATTAACGCTCTCGCGTACTGGAAAGACCTGCTTTACATGCGGCAATCGCGGCTGCCCTGCCTCGTGCCGTCTGTATTCCGTTTGTTATATAATTACGCCAATCGTGATCGTTTTGCCCGATTATTAGAGAAAATACCATTATTTGCCGTGGTGAAGGTCTCATCAATTTGTCGATCGCGCGCGAACCAGATATCGCTCGAATTGTAAATGAATCTCGTGCGATGCATTTTCACTGTATGCGAAACGTACGCGCGTTGCGGTGTTTATTTTTGACACTTGCCTTGTGATATTCGAGTGAAAATTCCATTATTCGTACTTTTTTTTTTCACAATACGTTCTGAAAAGCGCGCGTTTCAATCGCTCTCTTTTTGCGTCACGTGAAAAAACTGAAATATACAAACGACCGTTATTGCCGTCGGAATTTCTGGCGTGTGTACTTTGCCAGCGTTTTGAAGCGTGACAACGCCTGATATCATATCATGGAAATGTAGCTAAATGGTTAAGTACTTAAAATCGATAATACTCGATGATACTACAAATATATAGTGCAAATGCAGATAGACGGATTAAAAACTCAAGAGATTTTATATGAAACGTATCCGTATATGTTTTATTTATACATATTTTTATACAATTGTAACAAATAACTTATATATTATTAAGAGATTATTTAGTGTCATATATTAAGTAAAATTATTATTTAGATTTATTTAGATCAAGATAATTTTGTAGTTATTTAATAATTTAATAACATTTATTTAACAATTTATAAATTTAAAATGAAATGTCTTAACGTTCTTAATTAATTAAATAGTTAATTAGAAAGTTACTTTTATAAAAACTTTATATTATCTACATTTCCTCATAATACTGTACTGTTGAAATAATTAATACTTTAAGAAGCTATTGTTTGCTGCTTCTTAAAGTATTAATTGTTTGAAGGATTCTTAAAACTCTCACTTAAAAATGCAAGACGTCAACTTTTTTAATAATTACAATCCTCGGTCTAAAAGCAGTCAACTCTCAAAGCTCACATCTAATTATTTATCTTTGGCCATCCGCTTTCGGCGGATTTTATTGCAATCCGTGAAACAAGAGGACTTCTCGCAGAGGATTTTGTGGAACGCGATATTGCAATTCCTTCAATAAATTGCTGACGCTTTAAATGTAATTAAAAAATTGACACATATCCCGATTCTCTTAACAATTTTTGATAAAGATCATTATTGTATAGAGTGAGTATACATATCCTGTTTCGAAGTCTGTCTATTGATTTTTCGCTACGCGTACAACTGCCACACAATTATTCTTGTAAATTGATTAGTAAAGAACATTGTTTTTTCTCACGTTTTCTTTTATTGAAAAAAGAAGAGAGAAGAAACAGCATACAGAATTTTTTAATTTTTATAAGCAAATTAAATCTTTTTTTATTAAATGCAAGAACCAAACTTGTTATTTTTTAAATTTTATAAGCGCATGTAATGAATTAGATATTTTTTATTAAATGCAAGAATCAAACTTGTTATTTAATTGAAATTTTTTATTCAGTTTTTTTGTTAAATCTTTAAATACCTTTTAGCACTATTATAATTTCTTAGAATTGATTTCAACGAACGAATCCAAATTAAAATTCAGTTTTCAAATCATTAAAATTCAGGTTTCAAACAATCCTTTAGTTAAAAAAATTTTCACATATACATACATTCTTTTGCTATTGGAATATTACGTATGGCACCGTCGTTAACAGTATTCTTTGATGTTTAAACGATTAAAAGATAAGGGCGAAAATTTGATAGCACTTATCAGTGAGATTCGGGAGAATATCATGGAAGATGATATAGGAGTAGAAGATGGAGGTTCTCTAATATCATTTCGTCCTGTCATCGCAATCCTCTCGAATCGAACAGAGATAATCTCACTATAAAGCAGATCACATTTCAGCCTAGGTAGGGCTTGTCATTGACCTCCCTCCCTTGTCATAATTTCAAGTGACGTATATCAGAGACACGTGTTCTTGTGAGATCTGTCCATGAAAATGATAAGTTGTTATTCGTCTTCAGGGAGAAGGGAATTTATTTTTTTATTTCTCACACGATCCAAGTTGATACTTGTGTCTGACCTTTGACTGACTTGATCTACTTACACTGTATCCCGTAATATCTAATATAAGATAGACATCTTAAAGCCTTTTCTTATGTAATCTATATAACGTTAAATAAGACTACGATATTAATATTATTTATAAAAAATTTTCACATTTGAAAACATATTCATTAGCATATTAATATCGAGCAAGGTTTATTAAAGATTAATATGGGATAAACACACACACACATATATATATATATCGGGAGAATATATTTCATTTCAAATATACTTTGATTTTTTATTACATAAGCAAGATTTTTTAATCGGTCCCGCAAAAAATTTTAAAAAAGGTAAAAAGAAGTGAAATAATTTAGAAGTAAATGAAAAAGCGAGTAAAAGGCATGAAATAAAAATTATTTTAAAAATTGTGAAAATTACCTGAATTATATTATGTATGTTTACTCTCGTTTTAAGTTTTAAGTGATATCATTTCAAGCGGAGAAATAAAATCTTTTTTAAAAATACTTTTTTTAAAAATACAAACTTAAAAAATTTATGTTTATTTCTGAATTGTGTAGCGGTATCGGTATCGATAAAAGACCTATGCTGAGCACTGAATGTGCACCTCATGATGTACATCAACAAATTTAGCTCATTACTTAATGTGCCGCGAATTGAAAAAGATTGAAAAATACTGTCTTAAAATTTTACTACAAATCATTAAAGATTAATTCTTGATTTGACAAGAAACACTTGTTTTTCGAACGGTCAAAAGCATCTAATTGTAAAGCTACTTATTCCAATAATAGTATATCGATCCGCTTCCAATTCGTGAAAGTGAATTGCTAATTGTGTAAGTAGAAATCACTGATTTCTCCAAATCCAGAATCACTTTCTCGGCAACGGTCTTAATTAATTGACGTCATCGCAGTACGCGTGTGTATGCGTGTGTATATATGTGTATGCCAGGTACGATGCCCCGGAGTACGAGGTACCCAGGAACAAGTCCAGGTATAGAAGTCGATTTATGCGGCATCGGGACGGTGACGATTCCGACGGTGACACCAGATCAACGGTGAGATTCACGTCGGCGCCGCCGGAGTCGTCCAGCTTACGGGAACGCGTTCTGGACACGGAGGATGCCGCACGCGGTCCTTTGTCCGGTATATTTCGCTTGACAGACTCGCCACGAGTCATGAAGAAGCTGCAGGAGCCCATGCCGCAACCACAACCACCTAAACCGCAGGTTAGAACAACAAATTTCTGGCAGCATAAGTATTAAGGTCTTCAGAGCTAAAATGGGTCAAGATCGAAAATTCCAATTTAGTTGTGCTTTTGTATCTGAAAATTAATCTTGTGGATGAGACTTCGCAGAAAATCCAATTTGTTTTAGCTCTGAACTAGCTTGTTTAATTGAAATTATTTAGCAGATAATATATAATACATTGCCCGTATAAAAAATATCCGCGATAATTGCGAACGAAAGGAATTTAATATTTACGTAGGACTAAATGCGGTGAAGAAGTTGTTGCCTAATTTTGATCAAAGTAATGATATCGTTTTTTGCACGAATTGCATTTAATATGGTGATTCGTTAACAAGAGTTTGAGAATAATACAATTGCTGTATTTTTGGTAAGTATACATACATTCTACATATTTTTCTATATACTTCTATGGTAAATAATTAATTGTAAATAATTAATCTGTCAAATAAAAGTCAAGATTATTATTAATATTGCAAATATTTAACATTATAGTGGGTTTTGTTAGGCAAACTCAACGCGACGTTGAATATCTCGAAATAAAATATGACATTAAACGTATAACACGCACGTTTTCGAGTAAAAAATTGTTATACATGTCATAAATATATACAGCTTTCATCGCTAATAAAAATTCAAGGTGACAACGTAATCCAGATACATTTGCTATACGCATACGAAATACTTTTATGTTATATACGAATTTTTATATTATATATGAATTCTATGTAAGGCCTCTCTCAACCCTTCGTATATAAGCCGTCTTAGGTCGCTCAGTTCTTATATTGGGATATCGATTTGCTTTCCTCCCATAAGCATCCGTTGTTATGATAGGTTTCGCATTAAAAACGTGACTGCCTCTAGCGCAGTGTCATTATTTTAGTAATGTGTACTCGAGCCGAAAAATCCCTGTAAAATTATAGCGATGTAGAGATAATACTGAAGAATATATGAGCACAGCTATTGATAAAAGCTACATTGATACATTGTTTCGCGTTTCGTGAGAACAATAATTTTATAAAAATTCGCATCAATAGATCCGTATCAATCGACGTACTTGTATAATCCTCAACGGACATCCGTGTTTTTTTATCGATGTAACACATGGTTACATTATTGACCTATTTGTTTTTCTCCCTCTACGTTCATATTTTAAATATTGATGCAGCACGGAGCTTAGTTGATTGAATCGAACAATCGAGCAATCGTTCGGCATCTATATGTAAATCCTCTGGCCGGCATAATTTTTTTTACGCCGAAAAATGTACATCCTCGACAGAGAAGAGTATCAGTGAATTTAATCGCCGTTCCCTGCTTATCGATATATCGTATATCATCGCGTCGTATCAATATTTAAACGGCTAAACGTCAACGATACAGTTAATTTACGGCCATGAGTGTGTTCAGTGAATGTTATTTAATCAGTCTTGTACATACTTTTAGAAAACACTCGGAAAAAATATTGAGATCTCTCTAATTTGATAACATGCACACTGTAAAAAAATTACATGTAGAATTACAATAATTATACTGAATTTTAGGACTTATTATTACAGATATATATTTACACAAGTAAAGTTACAATTTTATTTATTTGTAAAATGTAACAACAAATAAAATTTTTTTTTACAGTAATTAAATAATTTGCAAGAATAAATTTAGAATTGAAATTAAGTTTATAGAAATATTTACATAATAATTCGCCAACGAATTACATACAATTTTTCTTAAGCTATGTATAAATGTAAAAACATAATATGTGTGATATTACTCTCTACTATATTATATTATTTAAACTTGAAACTTTTGTACATTTTATTGTAATTTTCTGTTTCGTAAAAATTTCAATTTTAGATGTTTTCACTATAAAATGTATAATTTTTATATTAATGCAATTTTACAAATTTTTTTTACAGTGCGGATATTAATAATACACAAAATCTGAATATTAATAATACACGAAAATCTGAAGTAACATTTTCTCGTGAAACAAAAAATTCTGCATTTTCTTTTCAATTTATATGATAAGGTTAGAAAATTTGAAAAAATATATAAATTATGATAACATATTAAAATAATCTCTTAAATTGAACGATTCTCTGATTTAGTTTATAAATTTTGATATTGAGCTAACAATGGATAATTACATAATTAAATAATTAATTAATTACATGGAAAGGACTTCTGCTAAAGTATATGTATACAAATTTAGTTAGATACAGATTCCAAAATAATTTTGTTGAGCCATCAAATTAATTATATGGGAAAGTCATGTTGAGCAATATTGCAAAAAATTTTGACATTAACCAATTTGAACGTCTTATATAATAAAACTCTCAAACTTATACAACATTTTTCAACATTACTCATCATGCTTGAGATTTCTACATAATTATTTAATGGTCCAACAAAATTATTTTTAGATCCGTATCTATATTTAAATTTTGAGATATTTCAGCAAAATTCTTCTTTCCGTGTAAGAACACGACTTAAATGGGTGTTTGTGAATTTGACGACATCGTATTTATTTTTGACAGTGATACCTCCGCACTTTTGCGCAAAGGAATCCCTTATTATGGCAGGGGAAAAAAAAGGATGGGGGCCCGCACTCTCCATGCTGACGGCCAGTGCAACGAACGAAATTGTTCGATGTCGCGCATCCCATTGTTCGGATGATAGCGGCTGATGTCAAAACGCTCAATGAACGTACAAACACAAACATTAACTTGTACATGTAACGAAAACTGTTATCTTAATCCACGATGATTTATATGAAGTGCTACATACAATATAATGACGAATGAGTGTCATTCCTACGAACACGGTCAACAAAGTGCCAATCATTATATGAAATATATAGCGTCAATTTTTTATGATTTCGCGCATATCAGTAAAGCGATAGCTAATATAATATACGTGTGATATATAGTTAGGATATTGATGATAGTGATAGAGAGAAAGAATAATATATCGAGTGAGTTGACCCATATCATCGAACGTTGTATTTTATATGAAATACTGCGAATGTAAGGTAACAATACAGTAATTTTACACTTTTATTATTACGTTTCATCATTATACACCACCCACTTAATCCCATATCACGCACACCTGCTTATTATCGTACTCGCGAGGGGCTCGCGGGACGCATCATATAATTACTGTGCCGATTCACGTATTAGCCACCTGTCGCGTACGTGTCATAACGTTGCATTTAAATGCACGTGTGGATTTCGCGGCCCCAATAAATCGCTCGGCGCATCGAGCGGCTGGCGCGAACGGACATCCCCGATCGTAAACCCCTCGGCCACTCGAAGGGAATGATTCGGATTGCAAATCACGAAGGGAATTGAGCGAGGTTCGATCGCGATTATACCGTAATGGAATGTGACGGAACGCCGCAGTAATTCTCGCCATAAGTGATTTTTTGACACGCAGGTACAAGTGAGAAAGGTACCGACCGCGATGGCGAGACAGACAAGCGAGGATGACGAGATCTCGAGGATCAAGAAGCAGAACAAGAATGCCGCGGCGACTGCCGTCCACACCGAGACGGTGGAGGAGAGACAGCCGACTTCGATACCCGCCCCCGTTCATCCGCCGCCACGAGAACTTCCGGAACGGGAACCGGAGGAACAGCCGGTCAGAAGACCGGCTATTGTCAGGTAAACGAACAAATCTATCAAATTTTGTTATAAAAATTCCAATAAGTTAAAGACCGTTAAATGAATGAAAAATGCTAAACCCAGTCGTGGTCAGATATTGGTGGAGCAATGTTTTTCACATTAAATTCTTTGTAATACATTTTAAGATGCTAGTAGATCTGTTTTTTATTACTGCACTTTCTGAACTGGTGCACACAAATATACGTTTGTTTCACTTCAACTTATTGCACCAGTTCAGAGTGCAGCAATAAAAAACAGACCTATTATCAAAGCCACGATCAATTTAAGAGATCGATTTGTGAGATTATTATTTCAGTTTGTGATTGCATTGCAAATCTGATAGTAATCTGTGAGCAATTTATATAACTGAAAGATGTGTATTTGAAAATTTACATAGAAATATTAAGCATTATCTTAATTTTATCATTAGTATCTCGATCGTATAATTTGATGTTTTCTTATTTATTTGATAAAAATTTCAGCAAAATTGACATCAAACAATTATTCAGTTAAAAAGTTCTATATAAAAAAATTAATATATCCAATAAACGTGTGATTATCTATAAAAACATTTTCATATCTTATAACATTTTTAAAAATTTGTCATATTTCAAATTTATAAAGATTTCTGAAGCAATACATTAAACTTTTTCAGATTTTACAAGTTTTTCCTTTAAAAATTATAGAATGAGAAAACGTAGAAGTTTTAAAATATTTCAAAATTCACGTATATGAACAATTCTATAAAAAAATGTAAACTTTCTTGTGGCACTTCTGAAAAGTACTTCAATTTGTATAAAAGATCTGAGAAACTTTCTAAAAAGTTATAAAATTACAGAAACCTGAAATCTACATAAAAATTCTGAAAAATTGTATACAGAATTCTAAGAAAAATTTTCATCAGAATGCGCGCAACGATGTATAAGTGGAATGACACAATAGTTCTCTAATCAGAACTTGACGTTGCCTTGGAACGTCGTACCGAAACCGTGTTTACAAAATTAAGACAATCGCGACGTGGAAAACTCATTAAAACTACTTTACTTGATTCTGGTGAAAACTATTTATTAAGAACGGTAAATCAACACGGTTCCCTTTCGAAGGAACGAAAGACTCGAAGATCTGTTTGCACACGTAGATATTAATCACGCCGACGGTAACCACGAGTCAACTAGCAGTACTCGCGTTACATCGAACTTGAGCCTGGAGTTCGCGGCGCGACGTTGTTACGGCGCAAACAAGTAACTTGTTCGAGTTCTCTGCGTTATTAACATGCTTGTTTGCAATATTGTTGCTCGCGCAGGAGAACTTCGGAAACTCACGCACCCCCCGCGGCCAGGAGTGCCTCATCGGACTCGAGCACCGGATCCGAGAGCTCGGGAGGATCAGGGATACGCAGTACGGGCGCGCCGTTCACGGCCGAGGAGATGAAACAGAAGTACCTGTCAAGAGCACCCCCGACTAGCACGACGACCACCATCTCCACCACAACCGGTAGAGAGCCATCGAACACTGCCCCGCCGACTCCCAGACCGCCGTTTCAGAGCCGTTTTTTAGGCGCAGGTAATTAAGTAGATAATTATTAATACAATTCTTCAGAATTTTAGAATGTTATCGATGTTGAATTATACTGTGCTATTGATACGTAAATTTTATGTTCAAGAAAATAGGTTACTCTTAATCAATGTAATAATAAACATTTTAATGACAAGACATTTATAATTTGGATCTTTATAAATAAAATCTAACTATTAACTTGAAAGAAAAGAAGAAAGTAACACGATCGAATTCAATCCTGTTGACTAAAGGCATAGTTAAGCGCTCAATGACCTTACACACTTGCATGTCAAACTTCATGCACGATAGCGTTCTAGGGTTAAAATCGAAAGTTTCAAAACAGACGAGACAGTAGTTAAGTTTAAAATTAACAGGTAATATTGCGAACGACGATGCTATTAAAAAATTACTTCTTTTGTGAGAAAGAAATATTTCAAATTCTTTTACTTGTCAAGAATAGACTTTTTTGAGATGATAAAATACTTGTAAATTCAGAAATTAATGACTTCTTGCTATTAATATAATTAATGCAACGACATAAGATTTTGTTGTCGATTCTTTTTTACTGGGAGACTTTTATGCTTGAAGGACTTTCTTTAATTACCAAAAGGAGAAAACAATTGCAATTTAATAGATGCATATACAACGCTGGCTGCAAATCCAGCAGGGTTGTGCATAGAATTTATTTACATGTTGCAGTGGAATAGGGAACAATGCAATGCGTAGTAATCGAAGGGATGACCCTTTTATCATGTTCGTAGCTAGAACCCGTTCTACCCGCGACACGTCCCAATTTCGTTGTACGCCTATTACCCATTGTTTATACGAGGAGAATTGAAAGCACGTCTCTACTCGCTTCGTACGCTAATCCCGCCTAGCTCATCTATTGTGTTGTACTTCTCAGTACTCCGTCGAACACCTCGCGAAAATTGGATGTACAGACAAAATTTGTGTTTAACCTTCTGCCTCTATTCCATGAAACTTAATTCGCACAGAAAACTCCGTAGAAATGCTAAAACAAGACTTCCAATATGTAAAATTAAGTAAAATGATATTACGTTTCTTTTTTACATTGTCTGACATTAGTTAAATATTTAAATAACTAGATTATTTGAAATTCTGATTTAAAAAATGTTCTGATGAAAAAGTTTGTGAAAATTTAGAATCTGGGTGAAAAATTATTTTAATAAGAAGTAGATACGTTTTAAAAAATAATTAAGATAAAATGATAAAATTTTTATTTAATCTATAGAATTTATTGTTAAATATAAATATTGACTTTATTGAACCGTCGTTATTTACTGTTTCGTATACATATATGATATTCACTTTTATACGAAAAGTATAAATTTTCAATTCCAATCACTTTTTGGTACGGAGACTGTACCTGACTCAACTTTAACAAACAAACATTGGGCTTGATGTAGAAGGCGGTCCGTATTCGATTGCGGATGTCCACATATCCATCACAATCGCCCTGCAATTCCGTATGCGAAGGGTGTGCGTAAAACACTGCTGCGCGGAGCGCCACCCGAATGTGCAACGAATTGCAGCGTTGCAATTCGAAAATGTAATCGCGATGGCAAGCCCGGTGCGATATTCCAAGATTCGGAAATTCATTGAAACTGGCAAGCCACCGGCAAGCAAAGGCGCGGAACAGTACGCGGCACGATAATTATGTTATCCATTCAGCGCTCTTAGTTAATGTTGTCGCTTCGCTTTTCCGGCGCTGTATCCTGGTTGTCATATCTCCGCTGAAACTCACGTTAAGTCGGAGGCAACATATTTCGCCGTAAGCGAGACACGCAGGCGGACATGGCGATATTCGCGCTACTACCTCTTGTTTCCGACCTCTTCCGCTGGTCGATATGATCAGTCCGCTTTCGCGTCGCGTTTCCGTCAACTGTGAACATGTAGATGACATAAAGGAAAGACAACTCTCTTCCTGAGATTGCATAAATGCATATTCCTATGCACCGCGACAGGTCTTCACCGCTTGTCGCTCATCTCATCCTTTATATGTGATTGTGTTCCTTAGTTCAACATTACGACATTTCCTTATATTAAAGTCAAGACTAATTTTCCTATAGAATGGAAAATAACTTCGATCATGAAAAAAAATTCTAAAATATATTTATTAAAGGTGCTTAAATCTTATTTTTTAAGCTGATTCTGACATTAATTATAAATCGATTAATCGATGTACGCTTGTTACGACAGCCAATTAGAAATGTCAAGAGTATCACTCGCAAGAAGCTTGCAATTGACTTGCGACTAATGTTGAATTAGCTTTACCGTTAATCATTTATCATTAATTACGAAGTGCATACTGATTGTAAGAAAAGGAAAATAATTGCAATTATTATCTATGATTTAATTATAATTCAGTCATTTTCGATTCCAACTATATATTTTTTGGCAAAACTAAATTATTATTACTGCATTATAGCAATAATAAAAATGTATGCTAATTGTAATCATTTTACGATGCAATTATGGTCACAAATACCAAATACTTTTTTTTCGGTGCAGGGAATTCATCGTAATTGTAAATTAAATTCTATAATTCCATCAAGAGATTAAAAATGGAAATCGTACCAACATGAATTTTTGGATTTTTAGGTAACCGTGCGGCTCCACCACCGCCGGTTCAGACGTCGCGTGAGGAACCAGTGGCGAAGAAGAAGGAAGAGGAGGAGGATGAAGATGAAGAGACAAGCAGAGAGGAAGAGTCGGAAACAGACGGTCATCCGTCCAAGACTACTCCAACTACGACTTCCGCTGCTTCTCAAGATCGTCAGAGAAGCGAATCCGCCATGGCGCGCACTGACATTGGACCTCTTCTTGCTCGCAGCGCTGAAGCTAGGAGAGGAAGCAAGGAAGATTCGCCTTCCACCAGGCAAGTATCTTTCATTTCTAAGAACGGATCCATATGATAAGTGAGAAATTTAATCCCCAACTAATATATTATAATTATAAAAAAGAAAGTGTCAATTTTGATCTCGAAAAAAAATATCTTGGAAACTTTTGGCTATTTTATTCTATATAATTGTAAATAAAAAGTTACGGTAAAGCTACATTTTAAATTACGTTTTAATGTATGTAAGAAATAATATTTATTTATATTACAATTGTGATATCGTATCACAGAAATTTATTCATAGCAGTTGATAATTGATACCTTTTCAAATCTTCACTCGTTCGTGTTATCAAAATATATGAAACGTACATTATATAATAACACAATAAGGATTATAAAAAGAATTGATAGTTGAGGTGAAATTAATAGGTAAGGTCCTTAATAAAAGGATGGAATATTAGGAAATTTTCTGCAGAAGTTATATTTATCATAATGCAAAACAAAAAATGTAAAATTAAATATATTTACTTATTCAATATCTGAATTTTTTTCCTTTTTTCATTTGAAATTGAAAAGATTAGTTGCAATTCTGTCTTTTTTTTTACTCTTCTTTGACACATAGTTCTCAAGCTATTATATCAATCTATTCTCTCTCTCTCTCTCTCTCTCTCTCTCTCTCTCTCTCTCTCTCCCCCCTCGGCACTCAAAAATCCGATGTTGCCAATTTGCGTTCACAGAAACTATCACAGAGTTTCCGTGTGTTAACGCGTGTTTATTTGCGCTCGTTACGAGAACGGCAACATCGCGCGCACGCATCCCAACGTTCTCTTCCGTCGCTTTCGAGAGCATGCGAATACGCTCACTCGCGCTGAATTTCAAAGTAACCTTACCCCACCCTTTCTCTCAACAGTCGCAATCTCCTAGCCCGAAACTGTGGCCTAAGGAAACGAGAGGCGGTTGAGAGAACAGGGAGAGACCAGGCAAAGCCGTAAGTGCTTTCCCTGGCCTGACCCGACTGACTCCCTCCGGCTTTTGTAAAAGAATCACGTGGCTCGTTCCCCATTGCACCCCCTGCTATCAGAAACTTTCCACGTAGCGTTGCGGAAACTGATTAGCCGCTCAGTCTGGCGATGAATTGTAATACATTAGGACGCGTAAATTTGATCGTGAGCACGCATTTGCCCTCGAGAAGCGCGTGATAGAACGGTACATCCATTTTCCATCTAAGAAATCAGTTAACCTTTATTTTTATTAATTGATTGCTCAATTAAAATGTTATTCAGCACACTTTGCTCAAATTTATTCCTGCTAAAAATCTGTTCTATAATTTAGTTTATCGTTAGTCGATTAATTGTCATCATTATATCTGCAGATTGTATAAAATTATAAAGTGACGTCGTGTACTCGTCGTTTATTTCTTATGTAACTGAAAATCAAATTAACTAGATGTTGAATTAACTCGAGATATATAGAATAAGATAAATACATGTGGTAACATCCACCGAAGCTCATTAATCGTGCAATCTCGCGTCTCAGTCCTAATGGAAGACGCGCGATAAGCTTGCTTAACAGCCAGTAGCAGTTAGGAAATAAACGTGACCTCAATCTTAAAGAGAGAAAGATTATGGAAGCCGATGTGCTATTGTATACGTCCCTCGATAGGTTGCGTTCTCGAAAACGCAATCAGGTCAGACCCTAAAAGCACTTATTCCTTAGTAGTAGTAGTACTAGTAGTAGTAGTAGTAATAGTAGTAGTATTAAACCAAAAGTCCAGAATAAAGAGAGAAAATTCCTACCGATCACTCGTGTCTCAGGTATTCGTCACCGAGGGGCAGCCCCGCGCAATCCGTGACGACGATGACGGCGACGATGACGACGCCGAGCGGCGGCGGCGGCGGCGGCGCCGCGATGACGACGACGTCGACGCCGGGCGGCTACACCAGCAGGTTCGTAGCGCACGTAGCTCACGGTCAAACGACTGCTCATGATGAGGCCACTTCTAATTCCAGTAACCCCCTCGACCGTAATCGTTTTAGGGCGTTTAGCGCGGACGGTACCGACGAAAGGTGCTCGGCCGATCGCGTCGACGACGCTAAAGTAATCGCGGCTACGGCTACGGTCGCGGATTCCGCTTATGACATCGACGCCGACGGGGACGCGCTTAAACCACAGGCGACGAACACTAGCTCGGCACAAACGGACGTTATTACGGACAAATCGACCACCTCATCCACCTCTTCCTACCTCGCGATAAGCGAACCCGAAAGTCTCCTCGGGAATAGCCGCGGCGACAGTCGAGTTACGAGTGTGACGCCCGAAGACGACGACGCATTAGTGCAAGATCGTTCTGAGAACGAAGAGAGTCGCAGCCGGGACGAATCTACTCTCGCGATTGAAGATGATTCCGACACGAGAAGAGACGCCACAGAAGAAATGATATCTGAAAAGCGTGACTTTGAGGACGCTCCTAGTTTCTTCCGAATCATCGTAGAAGACGTTGATGCGTCTGTCGCCGAGAAGTCTATGTTGGATTCTACGAATCAAATCGTTGAGATGATCGACGAGATCGAGCGCAGAGATCGCTCGAGATCGAAAGAGTCTCACAGCATTTCTGAATGTTCGAGTTCCGTTAGTGGCCGAACGATGTCCTACAGCGAATCGGAGAGTGATTCCGAAAGTGGCTCCGAGGAGGAAGACGAGTCTCGAGATGAAAACTGCAACGTGAAAAATGAGAAAAAGGAGAATAAGAAGGACGATAAAAATTACGATAACGATAATGCGGAAAGCGAGGCTAACGAGGAGAATAAAGAGTCCTCGAACTCCGACAGTGACGAGGAAACTACGGTACTGAGTATTAGCTCGAACATCCAAGGCGAAAGCAGCGCGACTCCTGACGATCATTACGAGAGGGATATGAAACGCCGAAGCGCCTCTATAATCGACGAGAGGAGCATCGAGGAGATGTTCGACGACAATGGCTGGGTGGTGGCGGAGCAGGATTTAGAGCAGGATTTACCGAACGATCTGCGAACGGTATCCACGATCCTGTTAGATTTTCCTGAATCTACGGTCGATCGCCCATCTGAACAGACTGCGAGCTCTATCGGCGACGTCAACGACGCAGCAGGGACACGTACCGATGAAATTATTCCAAAAATTGACGAAGAGAGACACAACGAGACGTCTAGCTTCGAGGATTCCTCCATACGGTCGAGCGTCACCATCGACGACGCTGAGATGGTTCCCTCGAGCGAATGGCAAGGGTTCGAGGTTTCATCGAGAAGTCGCGTGTACAGACAGAGCAGTCTGGGTAAGAACGGATGGCTGGTCTCCGACGAGTCGGAAAGCGAGTCCGATCGGGCAACCTCTCCAATTGAAGCTATTGGGTTCGACGGGATCGAAGATACGGGCGACATCGACGAGAACGGGTGGGTTATACTTGACGACGATGACGACGACGATGACGATGACAACGGTGAGCTCGACGAAGAGCTCGTAGAAGCTAGCAGCGCGCAAGAGAACACGATTTGTTCTCAAACGATTGACTTCGTAGACTCAAAAACTAACATTGAGAATGGTGCGTTAGTCGTGGACGTTAAGCGGTCGAAGGGCACCGAGCAGTCAGGGCCCGACGAGCACGAGGAAACGCCTGGTGCCAGTATGAGTGTACCGATGCAAATGGTAACCACCGTCTTCTGTGTGTCCGTACTGTGTTACAGCATTCTAACGAATCTGTTCCCCTAAATCCGTCGAGCTCTCTCCCTGACGTTACGCAAATACAAGTATCCTCCGGGTCCTCCCGCACTTTCTCTTTGTCTCCCGCGTCGTCTCGGATTCGGCATTCAGGATGAAAGACCGTGGACTTTGCACAAGCTTACGCAGTAATTGACGGGACTGTCTTGCCGCGAGTAACGATGCAGCAGTTTTCCGAGGGGAATACTCCATCTCTCGTTTACTTCACCAAAATGTTCCCAGCAAACACCAATTAACCGGAACATAACTATTAGTCATAATTTCACACTCAATAATATAATTGTAATGCGATGTATTATATTACAGTTATATTGTTGAGTGGAAAATTATAACAGTCGTGTTACTGTTGGTGTTTGCTGGATTAACTTAATATTGTGCTTAAATTGTGATTAAACTTTTGATTTATTTCGTAAGACGTATAATTTGTAGAAATTTCGTAGATTGTATGATATTTAATTCATATTGTAGCTTTTTAAATTGTTTGGCTCTTTTACCGCTTAACTGAAATAAAAGAAAATAGTTTCAAAGCTATTACTAATTAATTATTTAACAAATTATGCGAGTATTAACGAATACCATTATACACATCCGAGTTCCAATTAATATCATAAAAAATAATCATATTTCAATTAATTTTTGAAACTAAACATTTCGGAATCAAACAACATAAAATAATTAATCGATTGATAATATTACGATAGGAAATTTGAGGGAAATAATGAGATTGCAGAGAAATGTAAATCGAAAAGACTGCTGCTCGAAACTCACGCATCTCCTTTGACCGACGTCGTAAAAAGGCCTGTCGGAGAATATTTACGAAACGTAGCTATTTGTCCACGCTATGCACACGGTAAACCTTTTACCAGCATTTTTACACATTGTGATAGTCGTAATTACGGCCGAGCGCCATTGTTCCTATTATATTTGTCGATCCGCGTCGCTGAACTGCGGTAGCTTCGCGTTTTCTTTGCCCTGCGAGTGCAATCGCACACGCATATATTATTGTCACATCTCAGGTAGAACATAAAATCGTAAGATTAAAATGACATCAAGTAGTAGTCATTTTAGATAAATTCATAATGTGATAATTTCATGATTAATTCTTAACACGACAATGATTTTTAAGTAATTTTTTAACATTACTTACAAATTATTGTTACTCATGTTAAAAATTGATTACAAAACACGACATCAAAAGTATTGAATGATACCATTATGATTTTCTCTGAAATGACTTCTACTCGATGTCACCTTGATCTTCTTATTTCGTGTTCCATCTGGGATTCGGTAGTGAGACATTGACTATGTTCAACCGAAAAAGTAGCTTTGTAATTGTTATAAGATTCTTCAAGTTGGTTTATACTTTTAGATCCTTTGAGGAACTAGAGACAAGATCCAATGATGTTAAAGAATCTTATCAATAGTTGCAAAGCTGCTTTCTCTGCTTGAACGCAGTCATTCTTAAATTCGCCGCTTTCGCATTGAGCTTGTTAAAGCCATTCTCAAGAAAAAGAGATAGAAGCGTCAGACGTCGGCGGTCGATCCGCGATGGCACGCGCGTCGCGTTATTTATCATAAGTTTTGTACTCTCTCCTTATAGCGAATAGGCTTACGTCACAGTTTGTCGGTGTGGTAAATAAACTGCATTTCTTTGTGATAACTCGTATTATTTATTTCCCTCTCAACCGTCCTTAGTATCGACGCACGATAATAAATACAAAGTATCATATCCCTCTTGCAAATCTTGTTCATATAACACCTGTTTTTTCCTTTCTCTGTTTTTTTTTTCCTGGCTGCCTACTATTTCCCCTGGCACTTTTCACTCTCTGTCCCCGAAATCTTTCAGATTCTTACGTTCTCTGGTCCCCAATAAAATGTTTACTGTCCCTGTCCATATGTGTCATCAATGAAATACCAAAGAGCGGGATACGATAAGTACGAGAAGAATGCATATTTATTTATTACACTAACAAATTGTACGCTAGAATCATACCATTGTTGATGAACATCGACTATCAGCAGATGGAGATGGGCAGTTCAGATTCGTGTTTCGAGCGTGAGATTATATCTATTCATTATCGGAATGTTTCTCAAAAGTGATCTTTATGCGCATTTAAATCTCGCGATATTGGTCCGCAGTCGTATTATATCTAACTTTTTTTCAATAATTGTTTACTTATTTTTAAGATTCTGTATATGTATTCTATAGTAAAGTCATCATATATGCGCATTTAAAGATGCAGATAAAAATAAATAACTATTAAATTCATAATGTCAAATTATACTGAATTTTCGATATTTTTAATTACTTATATAGATCGCCACTGCTTCTACTCAATATATCATTAATATAATGGAGTCAAACAATTCAAGAATTTGACTCAAATTTAGTTTATTATTTATCAGTGTATACATTAATATGGACATTGTTTATTTTAAAACTAAACAATTCAATCATAGAAATGAATTTTATATTTTGACATGGCTTTACATTTTGACATGGCAGTTAAAAATGAAATGTTATTTAACTCAAAGACTTGGATTATCGTTGTTCCTTTGATGTTTAACGGACCATTATTTCTCTGATACGTAATTATCTTTTTAATTTTTTCTTTCTTTGGATATGTAACGATTTAATATTACATTGTGATTATATTATGATAATTCCATTTTTTGGCATCTATAAAATCTTTCCCTGTTACAACAAGATAACAAACAGAGATGAAATCCTTACGTTGCATAAGAATTACTTATGAGATTCATTTTGAATGATTCGTAAAATTCTTGCTAATTTGCGATATAATTATCTACAAATAGATTTTTTTACACTGAATAGCATTTCAGACACAAGTTTCACAATATTGCATGACGTTTTAACTTATGATATCAATTTTCTTTGTGCATATTCAAGAGGCATGCATGCTCATTTCTATTGAAACATTATTTCAAGAATATGTTCAACAGTAGTAGAACATCGAATCGATTGCAAGTAGGTATAAAGGAAATGGAATACCAAGGAAATTTCTTCGAATGGATTGCTTTTGGATGGCAGAATTATTCTTCGGAAAATTCGCATTAAATTTAGAAACTCCATAGAAAAATCTGTGTACTTCACACTATACAATATAACTTGTTACTAACTCATTGCAGTTTTCTATTATGCAATTTGGTCGCACACTGTTATTTTTGCAGAGAATAATTTGTTATGAAAATTAAAATATCAAAAAGTTGTATAATCTTTAATTTCCTTGATAATTAATAACTCATTAAAATATCATTTAGATTATAATTAATATGTTCGATATAAATTAGTTATATTTTTGAATAACAGTTTCAATGGTGATATTAAATATTTTATTTGATATTAATTTTATTTTTTTTTTTAATGGAAACTATTACATTATTTTTTTTTAAACTCTACAAAAATATAAAAATATAGTCAACTTCTTCAATATAACCCTCACAAAAATAGTATAATAATAATAGACTTGTGTCATCGAAAATGGATTACTGCATAATGTTAGACGATATTCTTAGCACGTTGCACCCCGCTCGCCGTTATAACGAATCGACACTGTCGAAACTTCGCAGCTCCTGCACAACCGTTTGGGAGAAATGTAGAACCATCGATCCACGCCGCAATCTGATCTACCAGTTTCGTAAACTGGAAACTTCTTACTTCATGACACGTAGGTTCTACCGATGCACTGGGACCCGACCTAATACGAGCGAAATACGAACTTAGTTGGGGGAGGTTCAGTGCAAAGTCATACAAACCGGGCGTGCGATAAACTATGTTTATACCGAAGTTTGCGGACATTCATGAACTTTCTCAAATTCGAGCGAACCTACACAAACATTGTTTGACGCAATCCGAAAATTTCATCCGCATCGCGGCACTCTACGCAACATCAACTTCGCCCCGGGATGTTAATTACAATTTAACACAATGAGATTTACATTTCCCCAGCTATTTGTGGTTAATCAACAATAATCATTTATAAGAGCTGTTAGTATCTGTAACGTGTTTGGAGTCTTATATGCCAAATGTCGAAACAAATTCAAAATTCAAAATTTTAACGAGATAAAGTCTGAAACAGTCTAAACATTACTTAATTTTTTTTAATCCTAAGTAACTTCATTAATATGTTTAATTCTTTTCAAATTTTCCGATTATTTTGTAACAGGATTAAGGATGTTACTTTATGAAAAACAAAGTATTATCGTTACTCAGAATTTTAAAAAGAAGTGCGTTATCATTACCATTACTTGTTGTTAGAAGGTAACGATTCATTGTGTTTTCGTTATTTTTTTATAATATACTGAAATAGGATATTGAATTTTAAAATTACATTATTTAACAATTAACATTAAATGTAATAATTAGTATTAAAATTTTAAATTTTAAACTAATCTCTACATAACAAATTTTTCTTTATATTAAATTTTCTAATTCCTTATATTAATATTTTTATTTTTAATTTACTTATATCTTTAAAAATTTACATTGTAATTAAAAACGCAAATATAGATACTAAACATTAAAATAATGAGATAAAACTAACGATTGAATTTCGTTATTATTATTATAAAAATATAATAATGTTACAGATAGTTACTGTTGTTAGAAAAAAAAAATGTTTACAGTAAAGACGTTACAATTAACGCACTATTTTCCAACTTTCCTGTCTTGTAATTAGCAACTTTAACTTTCGCTTTTTGATAATAAAATGCTTACGAGAATAATGTGCATGACAAATCATAGTAAAATACTTATCTGCATATTCACCGTAGTCATGTATACAGGATGTCTCACGAATCTGTGATAAAAAGTGCGGCACATCGGTGGTTCCCGATAGTTGCACTCATCCATGGAGCTGGAATCGAATCAGATCAGTGGCTGCTTCGTAAGCATTAGATCTTTTTTCAAATTAAAGCCAAAAGCGTAAAAAAAAACCCGCAGTGTCACGATCCGACAAGTGTAATGACATCTTCTAGTATAAATTGCTCACTGACGATGAACGCTTCCGGCAAGTGTACAGACCACACTTCAGACGCAATTAGTATAGAAATTAATTACACTGATCTCGCAGCTTATTTCATTGTTATTTCCTTGAATTAATATACTCGAGATGATTTTATATAATAATAATGATTTTCTATATCTATAATAATGCTTTGAGCGATAAGAGGGATAACTTCAACAGGTATTTCGCAAAGCATTTCCTGTGTGCCCTCATTATTTGTCGTTTGTATACGCTATATAAACCTCAAAGTCATGATGACATGACGTTGATGCGCCCGCACTTTCTGCACAACAACTCGAGATTGCAAGAATTTTGTATGTCGCAGACAATGAATAGATTCGCGGACAATCAAATGCAAATCTCGTTCTCATAAGCTTAATCCTATAAACGAGATAATAGTACCGACACAAAGTCATGTCTACCAACATGTACATGAAAAGCAGTTAGTTCCTTAACTTCGTTACTGTGTTACCCCCGAACTCATTAGCGTATGCAATTTACGACACGACTGTGTATTATTGTGTCTTTTAATATTAGCGTGCAGTGTGCACGCCTCAGTTTCGCATAAATAGCGTTTCCTGCGGGCACACTATACAAAATAAGTTTAATGTAGTACGCTTGTAATTGGTAAATACGTCATTTGTTATTTATACAAGGTATACTGGGGGTTTAATCAGTACAGTACTAATTTTGCAAAATGGTAATTACGAACATAATTTTCAATTAATTACTTCTTCCAATGTCGAGTCTTTTTTTTTCAATGAATACATATATATACATATATGTGTGTGTGTGTGTGTATATACACATTCCTTTGTCTTTATGAATGTATAACAAAATTACCGCTAATAAGTGCAGTTATAACGCGATAAATGTACGAGACGCACAAGCGAGGCACTTCTTTTGGTCATTTTTACTTTGAAAGAAGACTTAAGTTTTTTAATTGAAACAAGATATAGACTTTCTGTTTGGTTCACCAATAAACATTTTAGTTATATGATATTGCGTCCATAAGCGCGTCCATTTACACACCGCAGCCTGCACTATGCGGTACGCATGCACCAAAATAGTCCGATGCGAGGTCTCATTCGAAAATACGACTGCAGAGATATTCGCTCTCACGATGGGTATCGTCTTTCTCATGTGCGTGTTGGGGTCGAAGCACTCTCACCTATCTTTCAATATTTAGGGCGTGCAATTATCTGAGATCTATTTGAATTCAGCTTGAATGATCACGATTGAGTAAGAAAAATAGAGTACTCGAGAATAGTTAAAAAATTCTTTCGAGAAAGTTGATCGAGAAAGTATGAAGAAATTAGAAACTGTATTGTTTAGATTATCAATTGATGTTTCAAAAATTTGAGAGAAACGTTTGGGGTAATTCGAATAATATCCGTTCATAGACACATTAATAAAAATACTTTACAGAATACGTTATAATAGAAAACTTAATTATTGTTTTAACATTTTTACAATTAACAATGAGTCTATTGTGCTTAGACAGTCCACATCTAGCAAATACGTGAAAAAAGATAAGACAAGATTATAAATATTACTCTTTCATTGCTGCTTAATTATGCTATAGTATTTTACAGTAATTACTTGTATAAATGTTATTGTTGGATTAAATGCGTACTTGTCAAATGGAACTTTGCTCTTGTATAAATAACTATACGCCCCAAAGAATCTTTTATCAAATTTTAAACCGCAACTTTTATAATTAATGCCCAAGATGTTTGAAAAAATTAAATTAATAATTTTTTATCTTAAATTTTTGTTATCTTAAAACTATAACAGATAAATTATTCTCTTAAAGACTGAAAGATCGTAAAATTATTTTCATATCTACTGTAAAGATATTTTTGCAAGAGTAAAGTTATTCCATTTCGCGATATTAACATAAAATGAAGAAAAAAATTCTTAATGCAGATAAACTGAGCGAGTTGTTTGCCTAATGTTTCAGATTCTTGAACAAGAGCAGGAGTCAGGCAATGATGGCATCTCGCGAACGGGAACGGGAACGTGAACGCGATCGCGAACGCGAACGCGAACGTGAACGCGAGCGAGAGCGCGATCGCGAGCGTGAACGCGAACGGGACGTGGACGTGGAGATCGACTCGCCCTTGTCGACGAGATCCCGCTACGCGGCTCTGAAGGAACGCCGACAACGTCTTGCCCGTTCCAGAAGCTCGCACAACTTTGGCGGCGACGACGTTGACCTGGACGAAGAACCACCGTCGCCAACAACTCAGTCGCCGAATGCTTACCTGGCGGCGAAGTACGGCGCCGGCTCTGAACTGGCACGGAGTCGCAGCACCCACGCCCTAAAGTCAAGGGAGCCGAGCCCGGAACGTGATCGACCGGGCACGGAAAAGGACGGCGCGGCATTGAGCTCTTGGGCCAGATATCTCAAGAATAAATACGGTAACCGCACCACAAAGGACAAGGAACCGCCATCCTCGTCCTCCACGATACCTTCGTCCAGGTGAGCTCGAGTACACAATTTTTACTGAGCGAACACGAGACGCAACATGAAAAAACAGAGAGCGAGTGATCTTTGATATTTGTCATATTTATTATAAACATGTATTTGACGAAGCCTCCCCACGCACGACTGTAATTAATTGTCTATTTTCCACATAATGAATATAAATTACGAATCACATTGCAAATAGCATAATATACAATGACGTATAGTATCAATAAAGCTTTAATCGTATTGTACGCACAATGGCTCAGAATATTATGCACGCATTGGAATCAATGTAATTATTAGGCATATCACCATATTTATTGCAGATTACATCAATGCGCTAGTTTAATGCAACATGATACAGAACGTTACTATTATGAAAGAAAACGAAATAGCGATCCGATTATATCCATAATTAATTATTATCAGAGATTAATATGGCAAGATTAATATATGCTGAGAGAGAAAAATTTCTGATTATCATAATTTAGTTGTATAATTTATCAGTCTTTTCGATGCCAACTATATATTTTTGATAGATATAATTATACATATATAGATATAATTTGATAAATATAATTATTACAGTTAACATTGTAACAGTAGTAACTATAAACAACCCAAGTAGAACACGGAGTCATAATTAAATCATAATGATATCACAGAACGTTATTATAACGTCATTTGATATTTAAAAATTGACTTATAAAGGGCGAATGAGGATGTCATGATGATGTCCTCATGATATTATTATGACTTTTATGTTCTACTTGGGAAGATTTTTATAACATTGATAAAATCTACATTTCATTCTTTTCTGTCGACCCTGTTTTTTCATATTTGATATTGAAAAATATCACGATACGTTATTTTTGTACAGTCAAAAGGACTTGTTTCTTGAAAATCTAAATGAGTTCTTGCCGTAAATAAATCTTACCAGCAATTAAGCTGATGTCAAATGACTGCGTCAAAATAACGACGAATAATTTGGCAACGCGAACAAACATTGATAATCACAAATACCAAACATTTTTCTCTCATTGTCAATACAATTTTATACGAATGCCAAAATAATTTCTCCAGCACCAGCGCAGCTTCGCGAAGGTTGTCGTTAGGTTTGCCTCTAAGGCACACCGGGCAAACATCCTTTGAATCTTCCGACGACGACCAAAAAAACCCGTCAGGCTCCCCCACGTCCCCTACAGCAGCTCCCGTTATACCCGCGGCAGCAGGTTCCTCCACTAGGTAAGTCTTAATCACATTACATTACGTAAAGACACGGAGAGATGACGTAAAAGCGCATCTCAAACATCTACTTACATAATTACATTATATAAAAACAAGAGACAAGACAATTTGACAATTCTGGAGTTTCAATTTTCTTTTTTACGACATTACAAATGTTTTCTTCAAAGTTTACAAATGAAAGCGTCGTATCTTCGCGAGATTGAATTTAGAAAACGGCTGAATGCGAGCCGCGAAGTTTTGCTTGGCTTTTCTTCCTGTTCCTATTGGCGAAGCTTGTACCTGAATAAGAGAAGCAAGTTTCTCGGTAATCTGCTTTCCCTCTAGTTCATAGAAAGGACAAGAGGCACTACCTGTTAGAAAGAACGCGTGTGACTTTCTAAATATTCCACGGACGAGCATGCACTTGAATTGTGAGAGATCCGTCGGCGAGGAACCAGCCATTGCAATCAAAACACTTTATCCTCGTTATCTGCTACTCTCCGCTGCTCTCCGCGGGACTTCTCTCTTCTTCTCTCGCGGCCATAATTCTCAAAGATCTACCGCTGTTTCTACTGGAGTGAAACATCGCGTCTCTCTTGAAAAGTGGATTTACGAAAAACATTCCACTAAGAACAGCGTCACACACAATGAAGATACAGAGCTCCACTATATCCGAGTTTGCTCCTTTCACTTCCTCCCTTGCGCTTTCTCTCTCTCCCCCTGCACTCTTTTCGCAAACTTTTCTTAATACAATAGGGTTTCGGGAGTTTTATCAGATGAAGAATAACTGCGTTCATCACGTGAATGTTTGCGCGTAACCGCATGATTAACTGTACGACCGGACGATTCTTTAGAGGGATTCATAACTGCCCGGAAGATGGAAAATCTTCGCGTAATGAGCTTTATTGACCGTTCCGTTAATTGATTCTAGCAATGGTCGGAGGAGTCATTACTTGCTGAAGCGGCGGCAGCTGTTTAAGTTTGGGATGCGGGGGAGCGAAGCCGGATGCTTTACCTGGCCGAGAGGCCTCGCAGTCGGCCCGGACAACTCCATCGTCGTGGCCGACAGCTCCAACCATCGTGTTCAAGTAAGTCGTTCTTCTAATCTCAAAATTGGTCGTTCTTAATCACACGCTATTGAGAGTATTGCTGCACTGAGAAAAATTTCTGTCGATTGAAAATAGACGAATCAGAAGATTCTGATTATATCAATTAGCATTCCAGTCATCACAATTAAACATCTAGTTATTTCGATTAGAATGTGTATTGATACGTAAATTTTACGTCAGAGGAAATAGGCCACTTTTAATTAATATATTATAACAAAAGATTTCCATACGTTTTATCCTTTTAATAATAAAATATTTATAATGTAAACCTTTATTATAGATATATAGCTTAATTATTAACTTAAAAGGACAGAAAGATCAAGTACACTATCAAATTTAATCTTGACATGATACGAAATATATGTTAAATGTCTCCTCGTAACACTTATCAATAAAATATACAACACAAAACTGCTAAAAAATTAAAATTACTTATCATGATCTGTTATAATATTGATCAGATAATAATGGACCAGAGGTCCATTCTGATAACGGAATTTTTAAGTGCTTATCCCAGCTTTTAGCCTAATAGATTGGACCTTTTGATGAATACTGAATATACAGCTTAGTGCTCAATAATATCGCTCACTTGCATATCAAATTTATCATACAATGGCGCTCTAAAGTCAAATGCGAGAAGTGAAATTATTTGACAGATCAAGTGGCATAATAAACTTCCAACGATAAAACTATTAATTATTAAAAAATTGATAGAAAATTACATTATTTGTAAAAAATTGTAATTCTGACTCGTTCTGCCGTAATTTCTTCAATTCAATATTGGCAATACGTGTGCCTCGATAAATTAGTTATGTCGCTTAAAGCAATAATAGTTAACTCGATATGAGTTCATAAAGCTGAAGTATGAAGGTTTCAGGATTTTACGGGCACCCGCATAATATCGACAACCGTAAATAAGATACGGGAAAAAATTCCTCGTCCTAGTCTTGGTTATTGCATTCGGCCGATTTTATAGTATCGGCCCTCGACGTAAACGACTGTATACTCGCTCGGTCCGCAGGTATTCGACGGTAATGGGAACTTCATGAAGGAGTTCGGAACGTACGGCAGCAACGAGGGTGAGTTCGATTGCCTTGCCGGGGTGGCCGTAAACCGAATCGGGCAGTACATCATCGCGGACCGCTACAACCACAGGATCCAGGTGCTCGATCCATCTGGCCGCTTCCTACGGGCCTTCGGTTCTCAGGGCACCGCTGATGGCCGATTCAATTATCCTTGGGGCATCACCACCGACGCTCTCGGATTCATCTACGTATGTGACAAGGAGAATCACCGCGTGCAGGTGCGTACCTTATTGGTACAAAGCTAATTGAACAATAAATGTCAGTCAGCTAATTAATCATTTGAAAGAACGTTGATTAACATAAAATTCTATTTTGCTCACTCGAAAATATTTTCTTGATAATATTAGATAAGATGAAATTGCAGACAGCGAGGAGAATTAAGCTTAACAAATATCAATGTTTTATCTTTTTGATTCTCCGGAATTGTTGCAAAAATATTATTATACTAACACTTGATTTGTAAAACTCATTTAATATGTTAATTAAAAGGCAGTAATTAATTTCAAGAAATCAAAATATGAGATAACTTGTACTTGTAAAAAAAGAATACTAAATATTAAGTTTATTTTAATAATAAGCGAATTTGCAAATGTAGCATAAAAAATTAAATTATTTGATATTTTTATGTAAAATGGCAATTGCTATAATAACAGATACAAGAACTAATAGTAAATCCAAATATAATAATTATAACTATACTATTTTTATATTAGGATTACTTTATAAAGAAAATTGAATTATTTTTATTCATCGGAATCTTTGTTGTTTAAACAATCACTGAATAGTCGATCCAATAGATTCACCGTCAGCTTCGGAAAGATATAATCGAGTAGGTCTAATTGACCTATATTGGTTTCGGAGAATGAATTATGATTATTAAAAGCACTGCATCTTAAGCTAGCTTCAGTAACACTATTTGATCACTTTGGAATATCTGACTGTTCGCAGGTATTTCAATCGGACGGTACGTTTGTGGGTAAGTTCGGCTCGTGCGGTAGCGGACGCGGCCAGTTAGAACACCCGCACTACATCGCGGTGAGCAATACCAATCGAGTGATCGTCAGCGATGGCAACAATCACCGCGTGCAGATATTTGACGTGAACGGTCGCGTGTTGACGTCCTTCGGCTCGGAGGGTTCAGACGAGGGCCAATTCAAATTCCCGCGGGGTGTCGCCGTAGACGATCAAGGCTACATCATCGTCGCCGACTCTGGCAACAATCGTATACAGATTTTCAGCCCCGACGGCGCTTTTCTCAAGTCCTTCGGCTGTTGGGGCAGCGGCGATGGCGAATTCAAAGGTCTCGAGGGTGTAGCTGTCACGTCAACAGGCAACATCGTCGTCTGCGATCGCGAGAATCACCGGGTTCAAGTATTCTGAGTTCTCGATTATTAACACTGAAGGAACTCTGATGAAAAGGATACCTATTGTGTTGGCCGATATTTGTGTTTATTAGTACTTTTAATAAATGAGCAAATATTTAGAAAATATTTTTAGACAACACCGCATATTTGGATAAAAGAATACAACGCCTACAAATCTGAATATATATCTGCGAAGTTGAATGCCAATAATTTCCAATAGTTTACTCGCACCAACTTTTCAATCTAAAATTTCTAACAAATATTTAGCGAAGCTCGAAATTGAAAAAAAATAAGAAGGAAATAATGTAATTTTATTATAGAGGGTAAATTATGGTAATTTTATATTAAAATTGATATATACAATATTTCGAAAAATATATTGGATTTTTTAATTTAGTGATTTTTTGCACATGTCTTATTAAATTTGTTTCTAAATTAAGGATGAGATGTTATTACACACATAGTCTGTTTCATTCATTTGCTATAAATATTAACATAGATTTTTTTTATTTACCGCTCATAATTGGAAACCTTCTCGTAAATGTTATGAAGTTTGTTATAATTTATTTCACTCTTCATTGCCCAGGAAATAACTTTCATTGTCTGATCATAATAAATTCATCGCGTTCGTGTAGTTTTGTCTAACAAAATGAAGCACGAAAATAGTCTTCTCTGCAAAGTGATGACTTTCGCGCCTCTCCATGAATAAAAAAAAATCTATTGTTGTAGAAATGAAAGCGATTATTTATCACAGATTGCATTGTAAATGATTAACTCTGATTGATGTACGTGAAAATTTGAATTTAGTATTTTCGTTGCTGAGATTAATGAAATAATTTATCTTTACTAATATTATTTTTACAGGATTGATTTATTATTTAATGAACGATTTGAAGAAAAGCTCACAAATTTTAATGATTATTTACCCTCTTTCTATTTTTCTCGTTTTGCGATCATTGGAACCGCTGATGGAAATTGACAGAGTAGAAAATACCAGGAATTTTCTGTTTCGAGCTAATTTCTTTATTATTAAAAAATTTCCGAATACACACACACAAGCCAATCTCCCCGCGTTTCGAGTTGCGAAACACGTAGATCTGCCATTGCTTTTCTGCGGTTTACCGCGGATAGTTCCTCGTGTCACTTTGACGAATATTGGATTCATATACTCGCGTGCATAGGACGCGATATAGGATGAAAGAAATAACGAAACGGACGGAATGGCAGAGAGAAAAGGTTGAAAAGAAAAAAAATAGAATAGCAATCGTATCGACGAGCGCAACGACGCGTGAATAGAATCGCTCGGCAACGAGCGGTCCAAATTCTCGGAGAAAATCTTTTGAACCCCGGTCGATTCTCCGCTTTGAAAAATACGTACGGCCATGTTTGTCTTTTCCCTGTCTATATCACATCCGCTATCTCTCCTGCCTGTCTCTCTCCTTCTCGTACACGCACGATATCCGAGCGACTTAATTTAATTTATATGCAAAGTGACAGCAAATAAAGTTTGTACCGTTTGTATGCTTTAAATAAACTGTTGCGGAAGGAAGATAACAAGGTAAATCTTTTCTGAACCACTCGCCTTTTGATCTCCGGGATGTATTATTCTTTGTGAAACAGTTCAGACTGTTTAGGTAAAGCGAGAAAGGATTATTACTTCTGTACTATGAATACGATCGTTAAATTTAGCGGTTCGCGAAGTCTTGGTTCGGTACTCCACTTGAGAGAAATAAGCAGTTGGAATTGGAAGTTTGTCTTAGTATCAATAGAAGCTCTACAAGCAACTTCTATGACGTATTCTAAGATCATTATTTGCCCGGATATTCCTTTAACTTGCCGTAATGATATTATTCGCTATATATCTTGGTCCAGACGTAACTACAATATCCGGTGTTCATACTAAATCACCTCTCGTATTATTTTATTACAGTTTAATTAATGAAAGAAAATTATTCACAACGTAATCTCTCCACTTAGATTATTTTTCTACTTTCCGATAATTTTTTTTAACAAAGTGTATAATTTTTTTCATAATTTACTAAAGGATCTACTATAATTGCGCATCCTTCCTTATTATTTACAAATATTCTGGAACTTATAATTACCTGCAACATTAGCGATAATTATCAAAGTTTGATAGTGTCATCTAAAATGTTTCGGAGAAGAGTCGCGAGAAAAATAAGTAGATCAGGAAGAAGGTGAGACAAGGTAGTGAAAAGGTGAGTAGGGCAAGTGAAAAGTAAGTGTGAGTCAATAAATATATAATTTATTAAATGCAATGTGATGAAATGGTGTAACAATAGAGGGGCGGGCGAAACGACGACCGTTAATGATCGCCGCAAAGGCGGATAAGAGATAATACGCCACCCCCGCCCGGCGCCCCCCCGGAGATCGGAAATATAGATAAAATATTTTCGTTATTATTTACAATATTAGTCGAACGTTAGTCAATAAATAATAAACAGTGGCATAATCCCTTTATTTAATAATATAATTTAATTATATATATAATATATATATAATATTACGCTTGCGATAATAAAAATATTACAAGAGATGGAGCCTTTACCGTTATTCGTTTTCCGCTAGTAAAATCTAGCACGTACGTGCCACATCTACGCGTCGTCCTCGTTCCGAAACTTCCTGATTTCGGGTACTCGATCTCGATTACTCGATCACTCGTCAGGCGATTACACAGTAGATAATAACGTGAGAGGATCGAAGATTCTTCGCGATCGCCCGAATTTCGAAACGCGGAAACGCCAAGAGCGGATTGATGTCGAAATAGCCGTCGAAACCATCATCAACATTCCGGGAAAATTGCGCTCACTCTCTCTTACATTCTCTCATTCTCCCTCTCTCTCTCTCTCTCTCTCTCTCTCTCTCTCTCTCTCATTCTCATTCTCTCCCTCTCTTTCTTTCTCCCTATCGCGAAAAAATCGACGATGGGACTGAACAACAAATGGCAAATCAGCTCGATTCTCGACGTACGTGGAGAAATGATTTTCGCAACGCGTCAGATTATCACAACGAAATACACGCGACATGCTTGGACGTTATCAATCGTCGAGCGGAGTAAAAAGGCTGTGTGTGCGTGCGTGTGTGGTGTGTGTGTGTGTGTGTGTGTTGTGTGTGTGCTCCCAGACAGCACAGATCGCTCTAGCATTGCAGTCTTAACATTGAAAACGTTGCAGCAGTAATTATGCATTCCGTTGCTCACTGGTAATATTAATAATTTCTAGTTTACGTTACATATACTGTTGATTTTCAGTATTCATAGTGAATACTGAACGCAGCCATTGTCGTAAGTTTCTGTGCTGTATGGTTGCTTTTGTGTGTGTTTCGTATATGTGTTTGTATGGTATGTAAACGCCGCCACGCGAGACTGGGAATTGTGTCGTGTGTAGGATCAGGCAGGCAGCAAGCAGGTACAAAGTGACCGTCGCGACGAAGGAACAACGTATTTTTGGGTCTCTGTAATTCTTCGTGTGTCCTAAAGCAGGACAAGTCACAATTACGTATCAAAATGATATTAAAATGAATTGTGATTAATTGAAAAGTGACTTTTACTCAAGGAACAGACCAAGTCGAGAGAAAATCAAAATGACTTTATTTTGACGTCATGAAAGTCGAAATGATGATTTTTTTTTTGTTACAACATTTGACTGTTTAATGACGTTAAAAATCAAAATAAAGTCAAAATTAATCTGAAATGATCGAAAAAATGACTTGTAATGATCATTTTGGACTAATTTTGATATCATGATGACTTGTTCTGCTTATGGGTACCCAAGCAGAACAACAATGATGATTATGATATCAAAATGATGTCAAAATGATTCCAAAATGATCATTCCAAAAAGTCATTTTTCAATCACTTTCGATTCATTTTAATGTCATTTTGACGTTATCGTGATTTGCTGTTCTGCTTGTATATGTTCCTTGAGTAATAATCATTTTAGAATCATTTTGACGTCATTTTGGTGTCACGATGACTTGCGCTCTGTTTGGATCTGTGGTACTTCGTGTAATTCATATTATAATTTTGTGTTTTCGTGTGTTTCCTGGTATCCCCGGTGTCTGTACAAATTGTGATAGGCATCGATCCGATCGTTTCGACCCTTTCGACATCGTGCAACGCGCATCGAACGCCGCGTGTTCGCGCGATCGCGAGCCCGTGTCTATCGTGCCCTGCCATGCGATAAACTCCGGATGATCGTGCCGAACATTTCAATTCTTCTTTTTCTTTTTCTTTTTTTATTTTGTAAAAAATATACGCAAGAGCTTCCGCAAGAGATATATCAGGCTGCGTTCGATAAACGTTACCCAAGTAAAACCACAAGTCATTACGATATCAAAATGATGTCAAAATGATTAAAGTGATTTTTCAATCATTTCCAATTCATTTTAACGTCATCGTGACTTGTTCTGCTTGGATATCCGGGTATCCCTGTATATCAGTCTTATCCTTGTTTAAACGTCGGGTGATAAAACGATATATGGAAGCACTCGGGTGACGTTTTCGGATACAACCTCGGTAATGCCTAAAGCCGTGACGGAACAACTTCCGTTTCGGCGCTTGCGGTCCTCGAAACCGCGATATCCCACATCCCGACACGCCAGAGCGTACTTCCGATTTGTGGCGTCGGAACTCACCCTTTCGCATCCCTCGTGATTTCGGGGGATACACGATTCTTGAAACACGGTTTCGCGGTAGGGCCGGTATAGGTTTGTGGCGGGCTCGCGACAGCGGAAACCGCACGGGCAAGCCCCGTAAAAACGCGCCGTCTCGTGCGATTCTTGGAGAAATGGACAATTGGAAATATCTCGAATCTCTATAGCGCGAATCTCGATCGTTCCTGATTTTTAGAAGAAGAATTAATTCCTGTTAGTTTTAATCTTGCTTTTAATAGTCCGCTATTAATATACCTACTGATTCGTCTCTGCATCTAGAGAGTAGTTTGAAAAGTGGCATGAGATAGAGTGTGTTATAGGTATCTTTCTTTTTTTTCTCATTATTTCCCATCTGTTGTATCGAGATTAATTGAGTAATAAAGTTATAATTATTTATTTAATTAATTAAAGTGGCAGCAATTAGGCCATGCGGCTCCTATCATCTAGTCGTCTTTGACTCTTGGCTTCCTTACGTAGAATTTAAAAATTTTTTTTTTCTCCTTTACTTATTAAACTTCTTTATATTTTGAGAATAATTTGTATTATAAATGACTTTTAAAGTTTATGTATTCATCGAAGCGCCTATCCTAGCGATGTCTTTAATTAAAATTATTCTTTTTCTCAGCAGTCTCCTCCCTTCTCGTTTCCTCACCACATCCCGTCACCACATCTCTCAGTCCTTGACCTAACGAATACCTTCACCCGCCCAGCTTGCCCTCGGTGTACGTGGTTAATTATGTAATGAAAGTAGAGCAACGACGAAACTTCGGAAATCTCGCGCGGTGTCGGTGTGTCATTTCCTGTCCGCCGTTCCGTGGGTAAAAAATATTGTATTCAACTTGTCTTGCGAAGACCCTGGTGAAAAGCGAACAGTGCACCCCGGTTCTCGATCGGTTGCGTATATGATTGCGCCGAGAACTTTGTCTTACCGCCGAGATCACGCGCGCGTGACGTATCGTCTTTCTTCATTAATTCTTAAATTCGGAACCTGATTGCCACGCATAACGACAAGCCCGACTAACTAGAATTATCCCTAACTTGAGACTTCATTCATCATCATCATCGTCGTTATCGTTAACGCCCTCTCGTGCCCGCTACGTTTATAATCGCTAGCCCTTGTTTTTATTAGATTCTTAAATATGTAATAAGCAAAAATATGAATATATATAATAATAGTTTTTTTTGTGTATATAATAATTATTATTATTTTACTCATTTTTTTTTTAAGTATTTCGATAGGATCGTGATTATTTTAATTAATTAACAATGATTAAAAGAGTGTAAGAATTTGTTATCTTTCTTTCTTCCATCCTTTCTCTTCCCCGCCCTTCTCCTGCTTCCCTGCTCACACCTCACCTCTCTTTTTAATAACTAATAATCCTTTAAGCTTAATGGCATGAAAATGCTCGTTGGAATTGACTCATGTGTACAATATATATTGTGGTAATACCCCATCTCGCGCTCCGCAATTACATCGCTCTATTAGATCTCACAAACCGCTGTGAGTTCTGCGAAAACACACCCCGAGGGGAGAGGGTCGATATGGGTTAATTTACTGTCTCGAAGAAATTCGGCAATTCGAAATTCCGCAGCATCCTTTACATTTTCTTTTTTTTTTACGACGCGCGGTATCGACGCATTACTCTCCCGACAGATCCCGCACGGCGTATATCGGCTCGCCATATTATCTCTCGGATCCTCTATCTATCCGTTTGTCTGTCTGTCTGTCTCCGTTTCTTCCTTTCATACTTCGAGAGCGAGAGCTCCCGCGTGCGTAAACACGCACACGGAGACGTACGTCGGAGACACGTGGATTTTTATCTCCGTCTCCCCTTGTCCCTTGCGCGGAAATACTTTCTTGGATCACCATTAATTTATCACAATAGACGTTTGTCCACCCGATCAAAACTTTGAACGCCGGGACAATTCACGCCCTTCGCGCGCCGTGCAATCGCGCGCGTCCGCAATCAGCTACGCCCTTAATTTAACCGCTAATTATATCTTTACGCTAGAGAACCTTTAAAAAAATCCCCTATCGGAGAGAGAAATGGTAGGTAGTTTCTTTTTGTAACAATGTAATCGACTAGCTTACGTACTAAAAAGTAATTCTACGAAGTTGATTATACTGTGACTAGCACAGCCCGTGGATGAAATTGCGCCCTTTTGACGAAGGGCCAGTTCATTTTTTTTCTCTTTTCTCTTTTTTTTTTTCTTTTAATTCTCCTGTAATAATTCCTCTTTTCGTTTGCTTCTCGCTCTATTTCCCACTATTTGCTCTCGCTTTCTCTAAAATTTTCTAAAATCAAATTATAGCACTCTTAAGGAAAATGAATGTCATGTACGAAAGAGATCGTTTCTGCCACGTTATAAATGACAATTTCTCATATTATGTACAATAAATTCTCGATGCTGTGCTATTAGATTTGCACTAAATGATAGAAATGCAGTGCTCAGCTTCGCGTATCGTTCAAATTTAACTATGTCTCTTGTAAAAATATAGAAAAAATGTCTAGCTCGAAGGAAACCGACCAAAATAAAAAATCTAATCACATAATTAATATTTTAATTGTGTCCTAGTTCGTACTTAGAATTTCTTTTCACTTTCGCTTTTCATATTTCCGAGAATTATCTTATCCATCATTAAAATATAATTCATTAGTACTTTTAAAATCAATTTCACGTCGCTTCTTCATATTCTGATTATTCATTCATTCATTTAATTATCTATTAATGTTAATTGAACTCAAAATCAAACAAAAATAAAAGTGTACCAGGAAACAATTCCGAAGAAGTTTAAATACAAAGATTTCATATAAACTTAGGGCAATTTTCCTTCGATCAAGGGTTTTTTTTTCGTAGATGCTATCCTTTCTCGATACAGTCCTAGTCGCAGTTTCACCTAAATCGATTAGAATTGTATATTTAGAAGTAAAAATCGATGAGAACATATCATAAAGAAGAGTGAAAAATATTACTTGTTTCCTATGTAAGATTATACAGTGCACGTCGAAAAAACAGCGTAATAATTTCTACATAAAAATTTCTTTGTTATAAAAAATAGTAAAATTACGTCGATACGAACATAATTGATGACACAAGTCGATAGAATTCTCTCTTTTTAAGTAAAAACAATCTTTAATTTCTTTAGTATCTCATTTTTATTGTTTCAACAATTACGAGATTTATTAAGTTAAATTTAAAGTGAATTTGTATAATATAAATTACTAATACCTATATATTTTATAATAAATAAATTACTAAAAACGAACTCTGCGTTTCATCATGCTGCATGTTACAATTTTCAAAATTTATATAATCAGTTTATGTGCTTCTCGTTCAAGGAAAGAAGGCGAATCCGATCGACTGGTGTCATTAAAAGAGAAATACATGTCTGCATTTACAAAGAGCTTTGAAGAAATATTTCGTTTTGAAAAGATCTGCGGTTTCCTGTAGAATCTGCCGATGGCAAATTCGCAAGCTATTTGAACCTACGAAAGCGACAACGATTTTGTGCGATTTAGCTCGGTGCATACAAGGATTTAATAAAATTTCACGGGAACGGCTCGGCAACTTCGATGTTGTCGCGACGTATAACAAGGAATCAACTTATATGTTTGACTAAGCGGATCTCGTACTCTTTGAAGAAACACGATACATATGTCTTACACTTTAAGCGAGAGGAGAAACTGTATTCTACAAGCTTTTTCAGTCGATCGATCTCGTATAGATTTTTAGCAAACCCACTTATGGCTCGCCTATTTACTGCTATTCCAATACTCGCTCGAAGAAGATGCAGGGACGCGTAGAGTGCGATAATAGCGTAAGATACAAGCGAAATGAACGAGCGGTCGAGAATGAGACGCGGTGTTAACTCAATAATAGTGTGAGGGACAAAAAAGATTGAATAGGTAAGATTTGACGTTGGTCAACCATCGGGTACGCAAATCAGAGACGCAGAGAACAAAACCGTATATCATCCGTGTCGTACGTCTGGTACCCTCTCGTAATAGTTGTAGTCGTCGTTGACAACCTCGCATACTCCCTCAGAGCGTCGCGACGGCCGTTCCGGGGCGTCGTTCACCAACGGCTCTCGTCACCGGCCGTGTTATTTCGCTACTGAATTATCGTCGCCGCTGCTCCGCGTGCCATTGGACTGACTGTCAACTAGGTGACCCCCGGGCTGGCGACTACTAGGCTGGCCCCTGGGCTAGATGAGGGCGAGCTTTGGGGGACAGCAGCCGCCCGTGAAATGACCGCTGGCAGCCTCCCGTTCCCGTTTGCGACGGCCTTGGCGTTCTGCAGCCTGATTCAAGAAATATACGCTTTATATTAAAAATACGCATCGTTCGCGCGTAAGTGCACACGTGACACGGAATAATCAGGCAGTATATACCGGAAGGCAAACAAACGCTCTCTTTAATATTGACTTTTCTTATTGACGGACAAAAATTTACCAAACAATAATAATTAGAAAATTTAGAAATCATAGTTCGAATATTGTTTGACAAAGATGTCTGTTTTTTTCTAAAAGAAAATAAAATAAGTGTACATAATATATTTCTAAATTAGTAAGTACATGAACAGCACAGAATATTTATGATAAATATTTATTAATATTCATTTTTTGAAATGTTATATAGATATTTCATATATATTTTATATATAAAACTTTATTCCAAATATTATTAATATAGACTAAACATTTTATGTTAAATATAAATTATTATATAATATTTATGATAAATATAAACAAATATTTCTAATAAATATTTTTTACTTGGATTATAATGTCTCATTAAGTATTTTCATAGCATTTATATAAATATTTTATAAAAATTATGTATGCTATCAGAGAATATTTATTTTACTGAATATTTACATTATCCATTATTGAAAAATGAATATATATCAATTCCGATATGCAAAATATAAATGCTAGTTTTTAAGTTTTAAATATGCGATACATTTTATCCGTCTACAAGTTATTGGCAAAATGATTATCAAGCAATTCGCAGGTACTATGTCGCTAAGCGGCAAGTATACGATTTTGTTGTACAAATCCATAAAATATATCATTCTAACAATAAACATGAAGCATCGCTAAATATATGAAACATAATATGACACGTATAGTATTTAATTTCCGATATATAGATGTGTAACTCGTTAATTTGTGTGTCGTGAAATAGATCGAGAAAGAGAGAGAGAGAGAGAGAAAGAGAGAGAGAGAGAGAGAGAGAGAGAGCGAGAGAGAGAGAGGGGAAGGGAGAGAGATGACACAATGCAACGAAAGCGTCACTCCTTCCGACACAGATGAAACAGGAACGAAAGAGAGAGAGAGAGAGAGAGAGAGAGAAGGGAAGAAACGGAAGAGAAAAAAAAGATGCAAACAAGCAGTTTTGCTGAAAAACAATTGTCTAATTATAAGATCTTTACTTACCGGTCGTGAATCGTCCCACGACAAGCTGCATTAGTGACACACAGAAGAGGGAGACTTTAGAACTTTTACACTTTGTTTTTCGTTTTTTTTTTTTTTTCAGTACGATAAGAAGCCTTTCGTGTGCTAACAAGAAGTCTCTACTACGTTAACTAATGTGCGTGCACATCATTGCAATAGGAAATGCAGCACTGTACATACACACACACACACACACACACACACACACACACACACGCACGCACGCACGCACACAACGCACACATACATACAAGGATACTAACTTGATCTTGGACTGCCGCATGAATTGTTGAATCTTCCTCGCTGCCTGATGAGCCGCCTGCTGATGGACCGCCTGTTGCCTCACGCTGGCCGAGCCCGGCCGCGAGCGATAATTTCGATAGTTGTTCTGGATCACCAGCGCTGCCTTTGTAGCTTGCCTGCGATAAAAAAGTACAGCTTAAAAGTTCAAGTAGTCTAGAAAATAAAAATAATTCGGTAATGAAGCCATTGCGTAAAATGACTCATACGAAACTTTAAAGTAATTGCTAACGTATATAAAGATATAAGAATGATAAAGAAAAAGGAAATAATTTTCATTTAAAAAACTGAAAATTTTGTTAAATTAACACGCTCTATACCACAATGATTCACGTCAAACTTTCTGTTCAAGTCAACCTCATAATAATAATTTTCTAATTTTCAATGATATTGTATTTTGAAGTATATCTTATTTAACAAATATAATAAAATTAAATTATAATAAATTTAACTTTTACGATGTGGGAAAGATACTATAGATACTGAATAGTGAATTATATTAACAAATCTTAGGCCTGGTTGCACCAACATTACTTTGACTTTAAGCGAAATTTAAAATTCTCTTTGTCTCGTTTTAAAGCGAGACAGAAACAGAGAGAATTTTAAGCCTCACTTAAAATTAAAATAACGTTGGTGTCTTACTCAAGGAAAAACTGTAAGATTTTAAAAATAAATCCTCCTCCTTCTCTAAAAATTAAACGAAAATACCATAGGTCATCAATGAACATATCGTCTAATAGCGTTTTTCATTAGCAGAACTAGCGCACTTACAATGCACGTTAAAGCCGTTGTATACAAATCGACATAAAGACGTTTAATAAAAATAATTTAATAAAAACAATTTAATAGAAACGAATTAAATCGCGAAATATTCAATTTTATTGTGTTATTTGATAAAATACACATTGAGCATTTTATCAATTGAGATATCTCACTTTTACATTTTGATTAGAATAGTATACAACAGCTTTAAATATGCGCTGAGTGTGCACTAATTCTGCCAATAAAAAACGCTACAAAATTGGCATGAAACGTGTTAATGCATTTAGATCATTGTTTTGCGATAAATGATAATTAGAATTGGCTATATGCCCGATAATTTTCATTACTTCTCGCAATTTACGTTTCCACGAAGATTTTACAATGATAATATATAGTCAGCTGATTGTCACTAATTTCGGAGGCATTACAAGGAAGTTCAAATCGCTACGTATATAACTTGGTGAACGCAGAAAGGAGTAACGGTGGAATACTGATCTCTAGCTTCAACGCGAAAGTCGTATTAATTTAATGCCAACTTAATTCTGTATTCAGGCCACCGTAACGAAGGTAGGGAAATCCGCAAAGTTTCCGAATTATTTACGATGCCAATTAAAAGTTCGCCTCAAGAGAGGTACACGGGATCGAACTTTGGTGGCATCAGTCTAATTCAGTCGGAGGTCGTTAAGTTGGCTCACAATGGTACGTCTTGTCCCCCAGTTATTAATTGTTCCTTATTAAGACGTTCCCCCGCAACCTTCTTGACTAGCGGAATATCGATGGAAATTTAACTTTCTAAGTTCGGAACAATTTGGCGATGTCTGCGCGATACGAGATAATGATCTGTCATACTTAACAACCTTGAGTTCAAACCTGATAACACGTGCCCGCATAAAGTCGGACGATTTGTATCTAAACGTCGCATGCGTCGCGTAAAGTAGTTAGTACCATTGTAGTCAGACAGCGAGTGATTCATTCCGTTCTTAAGACTTTTGAAGTTGGAGGAAGTTCGATGGCATGCGAAATGTTAAGATAAAAGGAAGGAGAAACATTGAAATGCGCGAAATAGGCCATTCTGAATATAAACACACAAAGATATATCAGGTAACAAAAAAAGTTCTGTCGTTTTTCTGTCGAATTACAAAGTTTAATATATCTACCACGAAAAACTTGGTAAATCTATTACAAATATCAGTGACATTGAACAAGATACATTATAGATTCTACTTAAACACAGAAAATTGGAAAGAAGGTGCCATAACAATGTGGAAATTAACCCGGAAATGTGAGTATTTCAATCACATTTATTCGTGCTTGTACTGATTTAAATTTAAAATTTGTTTTAAATTTAATTTATACAGCCTTTAGGTTGTGCCTTCTGGGAAAGCATATATCTTTGAGTCATTTACACAACCTCTGTTCTAAGTTTAAACTCATACAGCATACAAGCACGAATAACAAGTTGAAATTCTCATTTCCGGGTCAATTTTCGTAATGTTATGGCATTTCCTTTCCAATTTTCTGTATATAAGTAGATTCTGCAGCACGTCTTATTTATAGTGTCACTGATATTGTAACGTAATCTATCTGGTCTTTTGCGTCACATCTCAACAAATTAAATGTAACTGTTATATAACATATTATATTTTATTTGTATTTGTTGGGATTAAACTGTACATAATAATTTAAATTTACATAAATAACTTTTTTTGTTACCCGACATAACAGTAATAAAACAATAATAAAATCAAATATAAGAATATAAAAGATCTGTTAATAAAACTAACGCAATAGACAACCCAGATAATAAATGTTAACAGTTTGCTAGCAGATTAGCAGTAAATTCAACCAGATTCCACTGCAAATCATATTCATCTGTGTCCGCATTAAGCTCAAGATTGACAAAGCCAACAGATTGATAGCAGAAACCGAGCAGCATCTGCGAGCAATCTGACAGTAAACTGACAGGAGAAATCGAGCAGAAGCGGAGCATTCTACTCTGTTTCTATCACACGTAATCTGTTGACAATAACGTGTCAATAAGGTTTGTCATATTTCTGGTAATTTATCGACATAATCAAATATTATAGACGCTATGTGAAATTTGTTGTCTTTCTACTATCAAAAATTAGTAGCATGCTCTGCTCAAAATCTGTCTATGCAGATTTGACTATCTGAGAAGTTACCTGTGATAAGCGTACTGTTTATGACGGCGATAGTACTGTTGAATTAGAACGGCAGCATGCCTTTCAGCCTCCTCCTGCCTCTGGCGACCCTTGTAATTCCTGTATGCCTTCTGGATCATTCTGGCGGCATGATAAAGCTCTCTCTGTTCGCGATCGGATAGCGTCAATCTGCTGAGATCCGCCTCACCGTTGCCATCGCCGTTTCCGGCACCAATCGCCGTCATGGCTCCGGAACCGATCATGCCGTTCAATTTGCGCTCACCGCAGCCATTCGAGTAGTACTGACCGCTGTGAGCGTTACCGTTGCCATCAAGTTGCAATTGCAGCTGCAGAAACTCGCAGAAATCAGCAGTGGTGGGCGGCGGGGACGGTGAGTCTGGCGTCAGGCAACTGCTGGAAGGACTCGAGGGACTGGCGTCGGCATCGGCGTCCGAAACTGAAGCGGCGCCGCCGCTGCAGTCACGGTATGAGTCGAACAGTTCCCCGGAGTCGAGAGGCTACAAGCAGTATTATTAGCATGTAAATAGAGCTTTATAACGGAATACCCAGGAACTTCGAAGTTCTATTTACCAAAATTCTAATCCGATTTAATCCAAAATTTTACTCCTAATTATAATTCAAGACTGAATTGTTAATGGTGTTGTTTCTCCGATTATATCCGCCAGAAGATTTTGTCTCACCCGAGAAAGTTTCAACGTTCCAATTAATCATTCACAATCTCTTATTTATATTTAATTCGCTTTAAAATCTAACATAAGTAGAAATTCTACAAGAAAAATAAAGAATTCTACAAGACGCGACATTCCGACTATCAATAATAGCATGATACTCTCACCATTTGTTCCATGAGAGCATCTTCCAAGGGTGACAGAGGCGCCGTGAGTGGTGGTGGCGAAGAAGAAGACGGAGAATCACCCTCCGCCCTCTTGATCCTTTCCGGTAGCGCTGCTATAATTTGCTCTGCCAATGTCAGCACCCTCGCGTCTTCTTCCCCTATAAAAAGGAATCACCACCCTAGCCAAATTCGAAAAGCTCGTGGTGGCAGACCGCCGAAATCACATCGATCACAACACCGAAGTTTTAAAAGCCGTGAACGTGTTCTACGATGCATTGAGATACTGTCGCAATGTCAGATAAAATGTTTAACACCAAGTGCGTCGCTACGACACGAATTGACAGCACGAAGAATCAGACAAGTCGCTGGTGAATACGGCGCTTTCCTATTCATTTCATAAGATGATAGCCGGCTGAGATACCTCCACATTGGTCGACTGAGCAGATCGCGTGTCTGTCCAGGTGATAATTTAGTCACTATACTATCGTGAAAAGGTTATATACAGACAAGATTATTGCTCGAGAATAGACCTCGATAGCCGACAGTAGGTAGTGGCTAAGAAAATTTAAACATTACACAGCAATTCATCCAACATGAGCGGTTACGTAGGCCAAGCAACACCAATTGTTTAAGCTGCAAGAGTTCAGAGGAGTTAGAGAAGGCAGCGAAATCGTTGACCGATTTCGGTCGTCGAGTACGCATACAGAGATAGACAGAGAAAGAGAACACTGCTGTACGCATGTACATGTGTCTAAGTATGTGTAACAAATGTGTATATATGTATGTGTCTGCGAACAAGGGAGGCGGACGCAGTTTCAGCTAGGATCTCTACGGAATTCGCAGACCACGTGATTGTGGTAGTACGTCTAGGCCGGTCCGTTTCTATCGGTAGTGTGTCACAGAGAACAGATAGAAAATTACGGATAGTTTTTACAGACAGACAGGCAGACAGACAGACAAATAGAAGAGGAAACGAGGAAGGTACGGACCTACGGTCTCCTGAGGGGTCGGAGCGCTCTCCATTCCCTGTTCGCTGAGGCCTAACGACGACTCATCTTCTTGTAACAATTCCATGTTGTCCAGCAGCGGCGAACCACCTGTGTGTTTTTCGATAAACCCCACTTAATACTATATACGTTGCCTAATTTATTACGCTCGCATGACTTACGGCCTTTTTGTTACTCTACAATTTTTACAAACTGGACAAGGGAAAATATAATGGCGCTGAAAGGGCTAATCGGCAAAGGGTAGGGTGTGACTATACGTGTATCAGATACGTGAATGTGTATGCGTGTGTACGGAAAAGAGGGCAGTATATAATAGCAAACGAGACTAACACAACGCCAGATCGAGACCGCTGTCTTGAGATGGCCGCCTAGGGCTAGGGCTGGCGGGTCGCAAGAAAAGCCTCTCGTCTTGCCTTCGGGTCTCGAGCTGATTCAGTTCTTCGGCGATCGCCGTGTGACCGTTCTCCGCGGCCAGCTCGGTCGCCGTTCTATTCTGACAGTCCCTCACGCGTAGTGCCATAGCATTCCATCTATGGAGGCAGAGTTAACAACAAGTACTTATTAAAAATCAATTCAATTAAAAATCATATATTCGTGGTATGAGGCAATTGCGAGCTACACGAAAGGCGAAGGTGTGTAAATTTTGTAATAATCGAACAACTGGATCCAGTTGTTCATAATTAATGTTAAACAAATGTTGATTAAATAAGAATATATCTTTACGAACCTGTAAAGAATCCTGGCGGTGTCGGCATGCCCTGCCGCACAAGCCCAAGCAAGTGGCGTAAGGCCGGCGCTGTCCTGCCTAAGAGCATCAACCTCGGCGTCTAAAATGCTACTAGGATTTTCTGCTCTCCAGTGAAGGAGTGCACAGGCTAACCTGGAGTATCCCAATCCGGCCGCCAAGTGCAGAAGAGTAGGCCCACCGGATTGAAGAGGTTCCGCTCCAGCTCGCCAAGGACGGACAACAGCATCCTGCAATATTTCAAAATGATAAAACTTTAAACAACAATAAATGATATCAAACCGATATCATACATGATGAATACAACTAAATAAGAAAAATGCCTCACTTGGTTTGAGCTGAATTTTAATGCTCAATAACATTTTGGTCATTTAAATTTATATATATCCAATTTTGTAAAGTTTAATGATTAGGTATAAAAATATCAAGTAGCAGAAGTACCTGGCAATAAGCAACCAGTCGCTCTTCCAGATGAGCCGCGGGAGACGGCGGACCGGGACCCTGTAGACGGGCCTCAACGTCCGCAAGACGGTCCAGCAGAGCTTTCTCTGGGCTAGGTTCGCTTGTCGGCGCTCTACGATATTCGAAGGCAACGCTATCAGACACGACGAAACCATCACAGGCCACCTGGAGGGACGCTATTCCTGGTGCGTGTGCGGGACATCGACAACGCAGTACACCCGGTTGCACGAGGCACGCCTCGACCGGTTCCGCGTCGAAAAGTACCGAATACGACTGAGAACCACTACCGCCGGTCCACGGACCAGCAACTAATACCTAAAATACCGTTTATATCAAATCCTGGCAAACACTAATTAACAATAACATGTAATTGTTAATTATAATTTGCCACTCTTTAGTTATAAGTATATTGTTGATTGGAAAATTACAACTAATAGTTATGTTACATAGTAATTAGCGAATATCTATGAAAAAAAGAAAGTTGTAAATATATTTTATTCACACCTTTACACCACCCTCGGTGTAACTCCACTCAGGACTATATTCTGCAATATGGACGGTTGTACCAGGATGACATCCGACGTCGTTCTCGGGACCACCTCGCTGTTCCTCGTGCTTCGTCTGCTCGGCCTCGAAGTCGTGCAGCTCCGGCAAATCGCCGAACACGTCGAACGCGTCCAGATTGACCAGCACGTCGTCCGACGAGTCGATAAAGTCCATCGGATTAATCATGCTGTTGTCCGCCGGCGAAGGCGACGGCGACGGAGGCACCATATTGGCCGACAGTGTCCTCTGAATGTCTTCCTGACTCAGATCCAGCGTCTCCGCGAAATCGGTCACCTCGGAACCGGAACCGCCCATTGGCAGAGACTGCACAGCAGATCTGTCCAAACTTTCCTGTGCGTCAATTTCTTGCTGCGTTTGCTGTTCTCGATCGACGCTGGTTTGCGGTACGATTTGTTGCTCTGTGACCTGTTGCATTTCCACCTGCTGACTTTGCTGCTGCTGTTGTTGCTGCGGTTGCTGCTGCGGTTGCTGCGGTTGCTGTTGTTGCGGTTGCTGTTGCTGCTGCTGCTGCTGTTGCTGCTGCTGTTGCTGCTGCTGCTGTTGATGATGATATGGTTGACTGTTGAGTATCAGAAGACCACCACCGCCTTGAATTTGTTGCAAACTTAAAACTAGAGGAGCCGGCTGTTGGCTCTGAGTAGAATGGGAATGTCTTGAATATACGCGGGGAGTTGTCGAAGAGACCTGTTTTAAACAGTTATATTTACATAGTCGTACATACTAAAATTTATTTGACTACGCGATCACGTTTCATAATGTTATTAAATAATTTTTATAAAAAAAGATTCTTAATCCGTAGTAGAAACATTTATATTTATAATTATTGCGGCCAATTAATAATTTTATTAATTTTATTAATTAATATCAATTAATTTTTATATAATTATTGCTATTATTATCCATTATTTAATTATTAATTATTATTAATTACTTATTATTAATTACTACTACTACTAATATCTACTATCATCTAATTATTACTACTATTATATTACAATTAATATTTATAATTATTGCGGCAAGTAATTTTCAAACGTGATAAATTATTATTGAAAATTCCATATTGTATGACGTGTATAATACCTGATTGTCGGGCGTAAGTCTCCTAGGTGCGAGTTGAGTGCTGCTGGTGGAGGAAGTGGAGGATGCCCTCTGCCTATCAAGCAACTGAGAGACTATCATGTCGACGGGATGGTTCGAGTGCTGCGTGAGATGAGGATTGTTCGGATCGTCATCTCCACCGAGGAACATGGGCCTTAATTGCGACGCTAGCTCGTCTCGCGTCCACTCCTTCTTGTCAGGTGGCAGCGCGAGGCAGGGTGGCAAGGCCGCCAGCTTCGCATCACCGTCCGGATAAGGGACGTTCAGATAATGGACGAGAACCACGTCCGGATTCTGCAGTAGCCAGTAACATCGGCGATGAAACGTTGGAAGGATCGCCGAGTGCACATAACAGCCGTAGATGCACTCGACACCCTGAACCTGTGATCAGATTAATATAATAATACATTAATAATACATAAATTCATTACAAAATTTCTTTCGTAAATCTTAATGGAATTTAGAATAAGCTGCAAGCGTTTTAAATATTTAGTATTCTTCTTGTTTTTTAACATAAAATTACCTTCAGTTTCATGTGATCCTCCCGTGTAGTCTTTCCATCTTTTCTTTTCTTCCAACAATAACCATCGCGCCGATAGCGTACTTTCTTCCTCGAATACAGTAACATTGAACCACTTCGTGGTCGTACTTTCACCTCCCGACTTTGCCATTCGGCGTGCCTCTGAAAACTGATTAGGATGGCGGCGATTTCCTGAAAATAAAAGAATAGGTTACATTTATAAATCATGCATTTATAAATTAAAATAAAATATATAATCTGATATCTCATACATATACATGTTTTAACATATCATATAGTGCATTTAATTTAGCTATTTAATTTTTATTCAAATTTTATTAAATTGATATTTTATTTTAACACTCGTCGAATAAAGATAAAATAAATTGTGCAAAGAGACGCTGAACCGAAGTAGACTTGTTACAAAAGCTGTATGGAATGCATTTCAGATATATTCCGCTGACACAGCCTTTCTCTACAGATTTGGCTTCAGTCCGAAAGTCGCGCTGACAGATCTCTGCTCTATCTTTCAGACTGCGCTTTCATCTTTGAAGAAATCATAGATAGTCTCAAACACACATTGAAGAAATGAAATCATAGATAGTCTCAAACACACGTTGAACGACGAATTCCGTGAAACATATGTTTGCACAGGCATTGAAAATTTTGTTCCTCAAAAGAATGTAACCTAATATCTTTATAATACGATTTAAGAAAAGATTTTATGCAACATAGACATTATTCATAGACATTTCTGATCTATCAAATATTTTAATCTAGTTAAATTACAATAAAAGTAAGGAGTTTAATTACAATAAAAATTTATCGATTAATTTTGTAAAATTAAATGTATATAAAAACAAAATAATAAGATATATTCAAATTTCATGGAGAAAGTAAGATTTCACTTTTATACTGTTTAACACGACATAGTCAACAAGTCGAAACGGCAAAATAATTAACCACGAGTTCTTGGACGGGGTTTTGGCCTGGAAAATTCTGTCTTCTAGCATCAGAACCAAAAACACTTAACATAATGAATAATTCAGCAACGACACATACGTGCTTGACGTACTAGACGAATGAAAAATGGAGAAACTGTCTTCGAGTTGGATATCTTACCGTATACCTTACATCGCACATGTAACACAGAGACGTGAAATGTGCATGTTACGTTATTCGCATTTACACGCTGCTAACAATAACAGCGCCATTATTACGGTTCATTATTGATTTTCACCGCGAGGAACCGCTCGGCGTAATTTTAACCGAGCAAATGCGATAGTACGGCATTATTAGAGAAGGAAGTAACACCGACTTCTTACTGACGTTAAGAAATGCAATTATCGCGAGGACTTTTGATGTCGTCTATCACGATAGTCTCTGTAATCCCCGCCTTTCCGCTCCATTTTTCTCTTTCATCCTTCAACCGTACACACGCGCCAACGCGGCACGCAATAATCGGCACTTGGCGGACCCGCACGATGCGCATAATCAGAATAAAAATGCAAAATTCGTTTCTATAAATATTCGTATTACGGCATGCGATGCTTATCAGCAATTCAGGCTACTTGAGGACATAAAAGAAGAAAGCCAGCGTCCGCGGGAAAAAAAACGAATTCAACAGCTGAAGGTGCGGTAAGTAGGTGGCCAGGGGCGCCCGCGACACGCGACCTAACGTACAATAATGCAAAACGAACCAGTGCACCCGGTCGATTCGACCAATTTGAAAAATTTAATCATAGGCAACAGTGTGAAGTGTATGGGTGCCCCATAATTAACCTCACGAAAAGAATAATTTTGCTAAAGTGTTCAAAAATTTAGACGCAGATCTAAAGATAGCTAGTTTTATTAGACCAATAATATAATTCTGTATAGGACGCTCGAGCTTCCTGGAATGTTAAACTTTTTGCAATATTGCATATTAATATTAATATTTGTTAGAATATTATCGCTTTTTTTCAGTTCGCCATTTTTAGGAATTGTTTTTTAAATATGAAAGTTATAAACTTGAAACTTGATACATTTTTCTTTGATGTTTAAATTCTCTTTTTTATAATTAAGTTTTTTTACAAATTCTTTCAAATGTTATAAAAGATATTTTGATAATTATTTGTAAATTTGTCGAGGCATGTAAATAAAATAAAGATTTACTATTGTTAAATATTAAAGAATAAATGTATCAATTTTCAAGTTTATAGCTGTTATACATTTTTCTAAGAAATTCTTTAAAAAAGAGTATTAAAAGCGGAAATACTTTCTTAAGTGTTCTACATAATAAGTTTAATGGTCCAACAAAATTATTTTCAGATCTGTATATCTAGTTAAATTCTTAGCTACTTTAATAAAACTTCTTTTCATGCACAATTCCGAGATTATTAGTAAAATTTCGATATTAAGAGATCAAAACTAATATAATAATAAGATATGCATTATTCACGACTTGATAATTTGATGAAATAATAATTTGTCCAACAATAGAAATTGTGTCATTATTTATGGTTTCAATGATTATAAATCTTGATAGAGAGAGAGAGAGAGAGAGAGAGAGAGAGAGAGAGAGAGAGAATACAAAGATATCATAATTGTTAAAAATTGAATTCTTTTGCACAATATAATTAAATTAAATACACAATATAATTAAATTAAATTAAATTAAATTATTATAAATTAAATTAAATGCGGCATTCATAAATATTGTTCGTATAGCGTAGTGTTTGGTAAGTTTGTTGTTTGAAATTTTATTGTTTGTAACTGAAGGACCAGGAATAATGGCGCGTGTGATAAATGCGAGTAATTCTCTTGCGATATTCTAATTAAGTTTGTCTTTAACTCGACTGGAAATACGGAGCGAGTATGAGAGAGCGTACGCTACCTCGATATTCCAAAATATAATAACGTAATAAAGCGCTTTACCTAAAAATTCTCTTCAGATTCAATTTCACTGATTTATAGAACGGTACTAAATATGCATATCAGCCGGAATATGTATCGTGCTCCTCACGAAGGTTACCATCGTACGTCATTAGAGCTTTTGTCAGAAGCACCACAACCCCCACGTGGGCTGTCTCTTCCTCTAGTCCATTAAATTTCTTGGCCGTGATCTCGGTCTCGCGTCGAACCATATGAATGTATCTGGGGCACTATATTTTATAGAACAACACCTTATAATTATTTCTGATATATCTCGCTAACATTTATTCACAATAAAATATAGTTTTAGAATGTATAAGAAAAATTCTTCGTGAATTCTACATATATTTTATTATATATTCTCTCATTGTAATAATATAATATTTTGTAAGAAGGATAATGTTTTTTAAGTAAATTTAGTAAGACTTTCATACATAACATAAAATTTAAAACGTTAATAGAAGAGCTGTCTGATACAATTAGTGCGTAAATTCTTCAATATAAAATTATTTTTAATTAAAATTCATAACGTTTTGAATTTTATGATATATATTTTACATCAGGAGATGCGGTAGCATATTCTGTTAAATATAATTTTGAAGTATCATTAGTATCAATAAAGACTGGGAAAATGATGTTTCTGTTCATAATTATGGATTTAGCAGAAACATGCAAGTTGAGTATTTAATGAGCGAAATACGAAGTGTAAATACGGACATTTGTCACATTCGGCTAGAATGGCTGCGGTCCGCATTCGTACTCGAAGCACCATCCATCTGCCAAGTGTAAATTAAATTCCCGCGAGATTCTGCGGCTATCTTCCACGTGGTATTGAGGATAACCCGAATACCGCACGACACAGGGCTACATACACGTCGGGCTACGTATCTTGTGCACATTTTGCAGTGACAGCGCCAGCTTTTGATTAGGCCTGCTACGTGAACCGAACCCACACACCATTCATTTTAGATGAGGCATGGCAAGATTGGATTTTCAAGATAAATACGATAACCTAGACTTTATGGAAAACATGTAACCGGATTTGGGAAAAGATTACACATCCATCAACAAATAATCTATTATCCTTCACTGATTCTGACGCAAACAATTTTGCGCTACTATTCTCTTTTACAAGATTTGACTTATAATTTGTATCCTCTCTCAATAAACACAATCATTTATAACAAATAAAATAATTTATGTGAAGAGATCATTTCTTATTATCAATTGGCACACGAGCTCAACAGTACGTTGTTGTAATATTCTAGAACCAAATTTCATTTACTAATTTAAAATAGCTTTTCCGTTCCAAATGTTAATCACGAAAAGGTAGCCGTGTGGCAGGGAATTCGGAGGCTACTTAATACCTTCGTGTGCGTCCCATGGGTATAGTTTCAACTTTCGAAAAGGTTCTCGAACGAACGTGTCCTGGATAATAAATATCGTCGATGAGGATTGGCCAAAAGGAAATGGTGAGTAAGAGTAACAGAAAATGGACAAAACGAGTTATTATACGATGTGATAAAAATAATAACAGTAATAATGTCAACTATGTCTAAAACCCCAGATGATGGTAGAACACAAAATCAAGATAATATCAAGTAGAAGTTATTTTCGGAAAAATCATAATATCATCTGATACATTTGATAATGATTTTGTGATTAATTCTTGATATAACAATGACTTTTAATTTTAAAAAATCACTTAAAAATTATCATGTCAAGAATCCACCACAAAATCATCGTCAAAATGCATTCAATGAATCATACACTCAATGAATAATATCATTACGATTTTTCTTAAAATAACTTCTGCTTGATGTCATTATAAAATTAATTTTATAACAATTTTTATTCTTGAAAATATGATACCATCATAAAATTTCGCTGAATGAGTGATTTATTTTTAGGAATAAAGTTCTTTCAAATGATTCAAGCTTTAAAAATCAAAGACGTAACTCGCACAGAATTAAAATTAATATGAATATAATACGAATATATATTGTTATCGAGTTAAAAAATACGACATCCGATAATACCGTAAATTGCGTACCGTAATTGATATAAATCAACCAATGAGAAAGGGCAATATTCGGCGCGAGGATCATATCAAGATAAAATGAAAAAAAATGTTTCTTCCTTTTTCGTATTGCTCATTTTGGAGCATTTCATATAGCAGGATCGTGGAGAGCATACGAAAATAGGATGGAAGAAACTGATGTCGGCTCCACCGGCCATTAGACCAGCCGGGTACCGACAACGGCGCTAGATAAAGCCCC